CTCCACACTTGCGCCATGGCGGCAAAAATTATTTTCAATTTTTTTAAAAAACAACAATATTTACCTGATTTCCTCAATTTTCTCTTCTAATGTCGTTCAGTTTATAATTGCAATATGTATATGGATCGTCTGGCCCTATAAGTTCCTTCAATTTTCACTTATTACAATGTTATTAATGTTTTTGTGCGATAATTTTTACAACTTTTCAAAATCTCACTTCACGCCATTACTTTTTAGTATCTCTCATTTCATTGGTCAATAGCGCTGCACGAGTTGAGTTAAACCTGAGTGTTGATTGGATGGGTTTTGTGGCGGCAATTTCAAACCTCAAAGTCGTATTATTTAGCTGTAGAACTTTCAATATTTTAGGCTCGATTTCAAATCTTAAAAACATTGGGGGAAAAAGGGGGGACGGTCGCGCCCAACACCCCCCCCCCCAATGCCAATGCCGTTTTCGAAGTTCAAGTCTATGTCATCGTTGCTGTCGGCACGAAATTTCTTGACATTTTTGTAGACTGTGCCTCTGTTTCTTACTTGAAGTAAAGGAGTCTCTCGGAAATCTCTTTAGTCGAGGGAGACAGGCTTCCTCTAAATAAATGTTCAATTCCAGTTTGTTATCAGATAAAATGATAAACCACGTGGACCTCTGCAAAGCACAGACTGTTACATGTCGCTTTAGCATGTATTCATCACTGGGGATCAACTGGAAAGACTTTATGTTTTCGTTTCAACATGGCCGGTGTAAAAGGGTGGGAGGTCCTATCAAGTTATGGTCCTACTCGCCATAGATTTATATGGTGACCTAAATACAACTCTTTTCCTCATTATCTTATACACTATTAGGGCCAGTAAGGGCCGTTAAGAAAGGGGACCATAATCCCTGGGGGACCATCATTTCTTTCACACCGGACTTGCGGAAATAGAATTTTATAAGATCTTACCAATATGGATATTTTCAAACAATGGAAATGTCAAATGTCGTTATTGTCTGACAATAAGATTTGAGCTACATGTAATATCTTGATCGTTTCATGTGTATTTTGACTTTTTGTTACGATAAAACAAAAACTTGAGATTCAAAATCTGAACAAGAAAATATGAACCGCCGTTCCGTTAATCTGACGATCGGCATTAATATTGCCAATATTACACTGATATTGGTCGTCCGTCAGTGTAAGAAAAGCGAGGGACTAAATACGTGAATTGTGTCTTTGTTAACATATAAAACCTAAAACCATCGACACATTCTCAAACTAGACTATCTTCCTTAACTTCGAGCCAAATTATTATCCACAACGTGACTTATAAGTAGGTGTAAATCGGAAAATAAAAAAATCTTACCGAAACCTAGTCCCGGAGGAAGTTCCGCCATGATACACCGACGATACGTCTGTGTAATTAGGTGGGTGCTAAATGGGGCAAATTATATGACGGTATATCGACCATTTTGACTGTAGTTTGTCATTTTTTACGGAAAAACGAATAATTTAGGGTAGATTCCCGTAAAAATACGGTAGGTTGGCAGGTAGGCTCATGAAGCTTTTCCCGGTGTATCCCCTTCTGAAAATGAGACTGTGGACTATTTTATTGATTCTTTGAAACCTGATGCTAACCTTGCCTGGTCTGTGAAAGAGAAGCCTCCAGTACGTTATATGAGGACCACTGGCGCAAAGAACGCCGTGATACGAAAATGTGTTCCTTGAAAACAACCCTCGAGAAAGGCTGTACTGAGGAGACAATCTCCGCAATGTGGTTGTGCTACAGAAACTGATTGTGCCAAAGAAACAGCAATCATTAATAATTGCGTTAAGAAGATACTGATTGTGCAAGGAGAACAGATGACATCAGTGATTGTGCTACCCATACAAAATCTGTCATTGATTGTGCTAAGAGATCAACTTTTGACAATGATTGTGCTACAAAACAATCAATGCTTATGATTGTGCTTCGATGAATTCTGTGTTACATATAATCGAGACAGCGACTTCTACTGTGATAGACACTTTATTGAATGATGAATGTAGAGACATTTTGGCGAGGCGTAAGGCGCCATCTATGAATAAAACAACTGAGACCAGGAAAAAGCATCATTTGTGCTACAAATGTGGGGACGCAACTCATATGTATGTGAACTGTCCATTGAAACAAATAGACGTCCATGGTATGGCTTCCGAATATGAAGGATCCGTAGCACACTATAGTGCAGCAACATTTGAAGCAATATTTATGAAGGTATACATATCTTGATTCTTTTAAAATACCATTTGCTGAAAAAACGTCCGGCTTTCGGGTCGAAAAATGTCTTTCATCACAAGGGGTCAAAAAACGTAAATATTTTGATTCGAACTTTTATACATTTTATAAGACACAGACCGATATTCTAAGCATACGAACAAAAATAGATTATCATAATTTAAAAATATACTATTTAATTTTACCGTAGATGTCGGTGTTTAATTAGTGTAATTATCCAAGATAATTTCAAGTGGGATGTCACCTTTCTACGTTTTATTTAACGCCGTCCTTACATTAGATGGACCCCAAAAAATAATGTTGGACGGAAAAATAAAAAACTCCAGAGTCCCTTGGACGCACTTTATTTTTACAGCAATTTCCAAAAATCTTACCTCTTAGAACACTCAAACAGTAGTACAAATGAAAGAATATAAATTGGCCTACCTTATGAAGACAAAATCTAAGTATAATAGGCAGATAATCAGCAGTGTTTCAGAGAAACACTTAGATAATTATCTTACTGTAATTCGGCCACCATTTTGATTGACCTCTAAAACCAAAACATCATTGCTTTGAGATTAATGGGTCAGTAGCAAAAACCTTTATCACTGTCCTGCCATCTTTCAATGGATACTATTATTAACAATTAGCCTACACATAAACTTGACAACAAACTGTTTAATTTAATACAATTGATCTTTTTGGCATTATCTTACATCATAGTGAGAAAGCACAAAGGGCAACATTTGAAAACAAATAAAATATTACAAGTCAAAAATACATATCAAACTATTGAATGTTGATCTTTATATTTCATTGAGATTGATAATGTGTCAGAAAGGAATACTGAGTTTATTAATTTACATCAGAGTGAGGAGGAACAAGGGGCAACATTGAAAAACAAAGTAATTCAGAAAAAAATTAATTACAATCAATTATGTATTATAAATATTATTATTGGAAATTTTGTGCCGAGATATGCCAGAATGCACCAGAGAGGGTCTAAATTACAAAATTGTCTGAGCTAGTATGTACCTACAGTACATGTATGTGTATTATTTGAACAGATTTAGATAAAAAGAGGAAAAATTGAATTATCATTACATCCTTCATGTATTGACAATGATGATAATGAACATTATGAAATGTTACAATAAATATGTTTATGTAGTTGTAAGTTTAGTAAATATAAAATCACTCCATAAGACTACATGGTAAAAAAAGACAAAAATGCCTTACATTTGTGTTACTTTAGAAAAAAACGAGTACTTGAATTTGCTTTATCCAATTTTTTCATTTTTAATTAGTTTCAGGCCTTTAATTTTTCGGACCCACTTTTTTTGGTTTGGACTCCATTTTTTTTTACCGTGGGGTCCATTGGACCCACTTTTTGGTAACACTAAATAAAACGCTGCCTTTTAAAATTTCAGACAGGAAGTGATGTCATCCGCTATCAATTTTGCAAACATCATTAGGTACAATGATGTAAGGGGTCTGTCCTTCTAAGCAATAACCCTGATATGAGTATACCATTTTTTATATACATTGTATTGTGGAAAGATGTACCTAGTTTTACTCGAGGTGCCAGTTTTGGTCAATAATTTTTTCAATAATTGTTGACTCGTCGGATGTTATGAGAAAAGAACATAAATTGTACTGATTACAAATATAATGTATGTATATTTTTAAAAAAAGTGTACATGTAATAATTTAATATCATTATTATACCCCTTGTCTTTTCACTACATCCAAACAATAAAGATGTCATGATGACACCAATGATGTCACAATGACACCTTTGATATCATGATGACAAATAATGATGTTATGTTTAATTATAAACAGACATAAGTCATTATATTGTCATTCTATCAATGTTAAAATAAAACTCCTAAATGTAACTCTGTTTCGTTTTCATTATATAAGTATGACGTGCAAGATAAATAAGATTGTGAGTGTATATTATGGGGATATTATGCCCGGATACTATGTACCTTAAAGTGCACTTAAAGCATTAAGAATATAATTCAAATATAGCTAACAAGGTGTGTCCGATTCCAGCCAATCAGAACAGAGTATTCACATAATGAAGAGTGTGTGAAATATCAATAACGCATTTGTTGTGTAAAGTTGCTAAGCGATTGAAATTGAAATTGAGTTTTGCAATACTTGACAGCCAAGTCCAAGACTGTGGCTGCTTCATTCCACTCAGATGTTGTTTCCTAAACTTTGCATTCCCCTGCAGGGTCATGCAAAGATTTGGAAATAACATCTTTGTGGAATGGTTCAGCACACAATGCACTGAGTCCAAGGCTTAAATCCTTAAACATCACTTTGTACAGTTGTCTGATGACACACAATATATGCTTCAAACAGACAGTTATGTTATGATATGCCAGTTCATACACATGACAAAAACTCATTATTATTGAAAAATGGCAGACCACATGTATAAGTCCAAATGCAGTGTTTTCTATATACAGGGTGACACAAGAAATGTTACCCTCTAGTGTTTGAATAACTTTCTCAATAATAAAGGGATCTTCATGATTGTTTTTGTCTAGATAGTGTGTTCAATAAATGAAACGTTTTTGTAACTTTCCTGAGCTAAATATCCCTGAAATCTGTCTGGCTTCATCTCAATCATGTTGCCATTGATTGTTTTTGTGTATATGTTTTTTGTACCTTTCCTGAGCTGAATATCCCTGAAAACTGTCTGTCTGCTTTTTTTAATAAAATCCCTTTATTTCCAACATGCATTATGGGGTTATTAATTACATACTATATAGAAAATTGTAACCCGGTTCAAGTTCTAGCCAAGGAAAAACATCACAACACACATTTTGTTGCTTCATCTCAATCACGTTACCACAGAGATCACATTATATCAGTAGGGTCCCAAGTCACCCGCAAGTTCCTATGGAGACCATTTACTGTTTGCATTTCTTTCTCAGTCAGTTCAAAATCAAAGACTCCACAGTTCTCCTTCACTCTCTCTACTTTGATAGACTTTGGTATTGTGATTACATCATTCTGGAAAACAGAGACAAATTTTTTTCTAACCTATATACTGTAAAATGGGTAATTTTGACACCAGGAAATTTTAGTGATTTTTCAATTTTAGGGGGTTTTAGCGCGGGAAATTTTAGCGAAATGAAGATTAATCTTTAAAAATTCAAATTAGCGAAATGCATAGGTGTATAGATTCTATAGACTTTGATTTTGAAAGTGATCCTTTGATCACTTATGGTACGGGAGAATTTAAGCAATATCATTGGTTGTTGAACCGAGTTCAATTAACACCTTTTATCTTTATATTTACTACTAATACTATTTCACTGATGGATGCCTATTTATCCTTCAGATATTGAAAGAAATATACGATTTATAAATATTTACCTTTTTCAAATTACAAACCGGAAGTCGAGCACTGAACGAAAAGCTCCTTAAATACTAGTATTCATGTAGTTTCCCGGGAATTTTCCAAATTTTAGCGCCCAGTTTATTTTAACCCCGGTTTATTTTAGCAAATTGAATTTTTAGTGAAACTATAGCGATCGCTAACAATCGCTAACAATTACCCCTCGCTAACAATACCCGTTTTACAGTACATGTACAGTTTATCACCCTATTATACATTACTAATGTATTCCTAATAATATGGTATTTATATAACCACTTGGTAAAAGTCTCATTGAGTCCCATGAGATCCCATGGGATGAAATCCCACAGAAAAAGTCCCTCACAGTGAAAATACCCCTAGTTCCACTGATGTACATCAGGCTTGCAATCAGCTACATTCTGATTCATTGACATTCTACATCAATAATATAAAGCTGTAGATTACGTAATGTACAGTAAAACCTGTATATAGTGAACACCTATGGAGCCACAAAAAGTGTTCACTGTAGAAAGGTGTTCACTACAGAAAGGGGACTTAATACAGGAGTCAATGTAAAAAGTGCCTTCAAGTGGTGTTCACTAAACACAGGTGTTCACTAGAGGAAAGTGTTCACTAAGACAGGTTTTACTGTATATTGCATATATGTATTTAGAATAAACAGTACACACAATATTGCTTCCGAAATTCTCGACAACTTGGTGCAAATGAATTTTGGATTTTGCACATGGTACTCCATTTATGTTGTATCAACCTGCTTCAATGCTTGTTATAACTAGAAGCTACTTTACCTGCAATGACCATCTTATGCATACTTGGGCAGCAGTCTTGTTGTGAGCCTTGGCTATCAAACTGATATGTTCATCTGCCAATATTTCACCTTTAGCTAATGGGCAATACCCCTACAATAAAAGCGGAGATGTTAAAAACTATACCTGTCTAAGTGGAACACCTTAGGTACCTTAAAAAGTGTTCTACTTGGTAGGTGTTCCACTAATATAGGTTAACTGATCTTGGGACTCTGGAAAGTGTTCCACTAACAAACTGGGTGTTCCACTTCTAGAGGTCTTCCAATTTACAGGTTTCACTGTACAAGTTATCAGTAATGGTCAACAACTTGTAAAATGCTCGGATGTATACTTGTATGCTGGGTGCACATAAAAGAGCTCAAGATTCCTTCAAAGAGGATGGCTTTAAGTTAAAAATTGCAATATTTAACATTTTCACGAAAGCATGATGAAGATTGAATACATATTTTTTCTAAATCTCAAAGATGTTTATCACGCCTGACCATCGACAAGGTACAGTCATGTGACAGTGACAAAATATACCGTAGTACACTTTTGATGTACAAAGTCATTTCCGCCATTTTAGATCGCCATTTTCTAGAATGAGGAAGCGAGGCAAGAACTAGCATTGATTTGATCAATATTGTGTCAGTTCATCATCAGGTACGTAGTTGTTGCATTCGATTTGTAATTAAGTTGCAAATGTGCATATCTACTTCAAATGATCCTCAGCAATTTCAATATCTTGTTATAGATCTACCCAGTACGTCAGGGATATCTAAATCTTGAGGGAATTTTTGCAAAATTCTCTCTAATTTTTTTTTTTGCTGTGCAAATAACAGCCAAACTACGACTAACACAACTAAGATAAGTAAACAAATATACATCCAGAGTTAATACAAAACCGCTTTTTACTTTGGATGCTACTATGAAAAATAGATAATGTATGTTGTCAACTCGAATGTATGTTGTCACATTGGCCTTACAGATCTCAATTCACAGTTAATTTTACAGTGAATGAAATGCTATAATATACGTGTAACAGAAGGAACATATTTGATAATAAAGTAATAATAATGATAGGCATATCAGATATATTTACTCTAATAATTTGTCCGTATTTTGTCCATAAAATTGTCATTGATATGATTAAATTTCAATGTTACTAATCCTTTTTTGTGTTCCATAACCTGGCTTTTGAACTTCTGCACTTTGCAGATATACAGAGTGTCCCAAAGTATGCCCCCCCCCTAGGCAGACATATACCAATTTCTCCATAGCATGTGTCATACATCATTTTTAAGCTTATCCAAAGTTACATTGATTTGCCAAATATGATGGTTCAAATGGTAAAAAGTAACAGGCATTTCAAAAATTAGCAAAAAAGATGCTATTCTCGAAGATAGGATGGATATTGAGTTCTAAAAAGATGACATTTAGGGTAAATACTCCAAGGAAACTCTTCTTATGCCTTAAAAGGGTTTTATGAGGATTACAAAACGCCATATCCCTTGAAAGTATTGCTGCTGTTAACATGGCGGCTAAGGAGACACACCGACTATTGTTTTGGTGTAAAACTGACTTTAATTTTGGCCAAACACTAACTTTTGAAATTCCTGTAACTTTTTTCCATTTGTGAGTTGAACCATGATACTCGGCAATTTAATGTAACTTTGGATGAGCTTTAAAATGATATATGACACATACTATGGAGACATTGGTATATGTCTGCCCAGGGGGCCCATACTTTCGGGACACCCTGTAGCATAAATTTTGAAAGTCATCATCGATTAGCTAGTATAGATCTCTCCATGAACTCCTTAAGATTATTAAAATTCATAAAAGTGCAACTAAACATGCCAAGTGGTCAAAGAGGTAGGAAAATAACACGCCATGGTCACATATTAATCACCAATTAACACTTTCATAAACTAAAATAGCATTCAACGAAAAAATCACTTTTACCTGTTCATCTGTACTAGGGATACAGGACCATGTTCGTTGAATTTCAATTACAGGGACAACATACACTGTGAGTTGACAACGTACATTTCTGATTTTTTAAATTATACCAAATGCATGGATATTTATTAAATCTTCACCCGTCTTAAACTGTGTAGTTTAGAGAAACACATTCTCATAAAAATATTCGACACTCTGAGACGTCAGGGGAGAAAATGATCAAAGAAAATGTGTAAAAAACAACATTTTTCCAACCGAACAATTGTATGGGTAGACTTACAGCGAAAAAAATCAAGCACTTTTAAAGTAATTAGAAAAATAAATGTCTTTGAAATCGAATACACGCGAAATCAAACATGAAATCCTTTATGTATTCCTCAAAATTTTTGAAAACCTGCATCAAACCTACATCATAGTCGTACATCAAAAGTGTACTACGGTATATTTTGTCACTGTCACGTGACTGTACCTTGTCGATGGTAAGGCGTGGTTTATGCATTAAAATAAAATTTCAATAAAATGTTTTCACCAAATTTGAAAAAGTTACTCTAAAATTTCTTACCTCTATATATATACCATTCCTTCTGCAAAAGGCCAGAAGCTCAGTTTGATTCTGACATGGATTATATTCAATCTGGTTAACATGTGGCACAATCTCACAATCCTCCATAAGTTGAGATAGATGGCGCTCTAGGAAATTGCTCACACCAATAGCTTTACATTTTCCTGCAACATATCAGATATTTTTATGACTTTTCATTTGTTTCATATGTTTTTCATTGAGTCAAGACTAACACAGTGACCAATAGCACACTTGTTTACACTGTGATATTATGACATTGTGACCAAAACTTACACATGATCTACAACACAATAACCAAAAGTAATACACCGGTAAATACAATGACACACAAAACCACCATTTAATACTGCAATACAATGATCCAATGTAACACATGAGTCAAATCAATGACACAATAACCAAAAGTAACACAGTCTAGTAAATACAGTGAAACAATGGCACACAAAACCACCATTTAATACTGCAATACAATGATCCAATGTAACACATGAGTCAAATCAATGACACAATAACCAAAAGTAATACATGAGTAAATACAGTGAAACAATGACACACAAAATCCCCAGTTAATACTGCAATACAATGACCAAATGTAACACTCCAGTAAATACAATGACACAATAATCAAAAGTAACACACCAGTAAAAACAGTGAAATAATGACACACAAAACCACCAATTAATACTGCAACACAATGACCAAATGTAACACTCGAGTCAATACAGTGACACAATAACCAAAAGTAAAAAAACATTTAATACTGCAACACAATGACCAAATGTAACACACCAGTCAATACAGTGACACAATGACCAAAAGTAACATACCAGTTTATACTGTTACACAATGATCAAATGTAATACAACAGTCAATACAGTGACACAATGACCAAAATTAACATACCAGTTTATACTGTTACACAATGATCAAATGTAACACACCAGTCAATACAGTGACACAATGACCAAAAGTAAAAAAAAATTAATACTGCAACACAATGACCAAATGTAACACACCAGTCAATACAGTGACACAATAACCAAAAGTAAAAAAAACATTTAATACTGCAACACAATGACCAAATGTAACACACCAGTCAATACAGTGACACAATGACCAAAAGTAACACACCAGTTTATACTGTTACACAATGACCAAAAGTAACACACCAGTCAATACAGCGACACAATGATCAAAAGTAACACACTAGTCAACACAGCAACACAATAACCAAAAGTAACACACCAGTTTACACTGCAACACAATGACCAATAGTAAAACAGTCAATACAATGAAACAATGACCAAAAGAAACACACCAGTTTAGATTGCAACATAATGAATTAAAGTAACACATCAGTCAATACAGTGACACAATGACCAATAATAACACACCAGTTTATGCAATGATACAATGACCAAAAATAACACAACGGTCAAAACAGTGCCACAATGACAACTAGAAAATGGCAACTCCACAGAGTAGCAAATCCCAATAAACAAAATATTCATTAATCTGTATGTCACACTGTAATATTTACCCGTAATTTGCAGATAATAAAAGACAGACCTTGGAGATATATCAGAATTTAAGCATTTTGGTGACCTCTCAGCAGTCAGTAAGACTGTCAGTTTACAATGGCTGAATGCGAAAAATAAATAAACATACATACATATAAATTTATAAAAAAACATGTAGTAGGCATGATTTATCAAGATGGCATTGAAAAATGTGACACATTAAAGGAATAAACGGAGACATGATGGAATACTTGTTATGCACTGCTTCTCAATTGAGAAAAAAGCCTTTAAATTATTTAAACTTTTAATTCATTAATGTCAAAGAAATATGTCATGTACTATAAATATGTTTTGATATGAGTACTTTGAATAAAAAAAGTTGAGATAGTAAATGATCAAACAGTGTCTAAGATGTCGTCAAGGTCGGTATATACCGTAGATATGAGTCAGCTTAAGGATATCCCAAAATTCTGGTTGAAGAAGACAGTAACAAAGGTGATGGCGACTGATTTTAACAAAAATGGGGTATGGGATACAGAGGACAGTAAGATTGCAGCTGAGAAGATTATTAAAGCAGGTGAATACATCATTGACATTTGAGAGGTCGCGTTAGCCACTTTTTAATTCAAAGTTTTAAAATTGTCAAGTTACGTAAGTCATATTTTGTTGATTTCATGCAAACAAAGCATTTATGGAATAAATCGTCTGTTGTATTCCTTTTTGTTCAGTTTGCTTACTAGTCAGAATAAGTCACCTTCACTTGTACCTACTTGTATATATATGCTGATTGGCTGAAATTTTAAGTCTTTAAGATACGCTTATGAGCATATTACAAAAAGAAGTTGTCTTTACTTTAACAGAAACTAAACATTTTCAAAATGCAATTTGAAATTAAAGAGAAATTAATTATATCCATACTAATTGAATCACCTACACAGTAACAGAACAGCTTCTAACTGACTTAACAATACTGCTTTAACAAAAAAATTTGTTCGAACTGGACATTTAAACTGCCATATTTGCTATCATGGGCTGTTCCATCTCCCATTCACACCCCTCTGGATCTTCAAAATGGCACCATGCAATTACACGAACATAATAATATGCATTTCAGGAAACCTTAAAGGAGCTAAAGCTGAAGAAGTACGTATGTTTTATCTCCAAGTCCCATATTACTTCGACACCTCGAACAATATAACAGAATGGCTTCTTGGGGACTACAACTATAGCAAGGACTTGAACAGCCGACCCTATGTCTATGAATACATGGCAACATGGTTCAGAGCCCTGGATTTGAATGGGGATGGTGTCATTGATCTGAAAGAATACAAGGTTTTCTGGGATGCCTATGACCTTGACCTTAATTATATGAAGCGCCAGTTTGACTATATTGATGAGGATAAAGATGGCAAGATAACATCTCAGGAGTTTGTTGAGGCAGTTCTCGACTATTTTTACAACACCGAGGAAAATGATAACATCTTTTGGGGACCGCTTCAAGATTTTCAAATGATTTAAGTCATTGTAGACAATTAATTATTTTCCTATGGGGAATCAGTTGAGTTTTGAGATACTGTAATATGTCCAAATGTGTACATGGACACTGTTGTATAGATACCCGAAAATAAATAAAACTTTTATTTTGCCCTTGAAAATCTACTTTTTAAACTAATTTGAATTTGCATATCATCTGTAAATTATAATTCTTGCTTTTTCAAAAAGATTGCCAAATGTGTTCATTGGTTAGGTACATGTTGTTTAATAAGATAATATAAATTCCTCAAATCTGTAACCTTATTAACTTATTTCTTAACTTATTTCGAGCTTGAAATTATGTGTTTTTTGTCCAGAAATGTATAATCCCAATCGATCCTTTACAATTGCTGTACATAATAATTGTGTCATATTGTGTTTTTTGAGTAAAACATTTACCAATATTAATCTTTCCATCAAATATGTAGAAAATCCATCCATTGGTATTCAAATTATTTTCCAAACAGATGGACAGACAGACAGGGAGATTTACTGACGAATGGATGGACGTCATTTGTTACTGCTGCACAATGTCTTCATTCGTTGTCTTCTTTCTTCATCTTGGTTGACTTACATTTGATTTTGATGTTAACAATTCTATTCAGGAACCACAGACTTGAGACCGCATGTAGGTGGGTTAGAGGTTTTGATTCGGCCAGAAAACTCTCCCCTTCCCCTTACTCAGGTGTTGTTCGGTTGTCTTGTATCAGTTATATTGTTCATGATATGTCTTCTTAACAGATGGTTTCACTATATCCCTACTGAACTTCATTCATTGGGATAAAAAGCAACACACCAGTTTATACTATGACAGAATGACTAAAATTACACCAGTTAATACTGCAAAACAGTAACCAACACTGATGCACCAGTTTATACTAAGTGTCAGATTGTTGGCCTTGATTCTGACATCTTAAAGGAATATTCCTGGCCAGACCAATTCTCTCCTAATATGGTAGCTATAACAATATTTACTTTCCATATTTAGCAAAATAGGGAAAAATGTTTTGATATGGTCAATATTGATCACTTGAAAATGTAGTGTCGAATTCCAGTAGGCTGCCATCTTTTAATATTTCACTCAGGAAGTGATGTCATCGACTCTCAACTTTGCATATAACACTATAAGGAGCTATTAAGAATTACAAAACCAGATGAATATTCTTTTTCAGTTTTGTCTTTGATTTAATCCTTCTAAAAGTTTATTCTAAGCTGACAAGCTCTGAACATATTTTTGCGCATAAAGTAAGGATCACTCGTCTAGAAGTGATATTGTGCTATTTTCCAAATGCAAGGTCATGAAAGTTGAGAGTCGATGACATCACTTCCTGAGTAAAATCTTAAAAGATGGCAGCTTACTGGAAATGAGCACTACATTTTTAAATTATCAATATTGACTATATTAAAACATTTCCCCATGTTTTGCTAAATATGGAAAGTATATATATGATTATAGCTATCACATCAGGATAGAAATGGTTTGGCCAGGAATGTTCCTTTAATAAAATCTATCTGCACATAAGCAAAATGAGCGACACATGACTTTACTGGGTTTTCATTGGTCAAAGGTGATAATTCATGCGTACCCAGCGTACCGGGTGCTACACTATGGCTACATGTATGTGTGATTATATATTTGGTATCTGTAACTTACCCTTTTTATAAAGGGTTTTGATTGGTCAAAGGTGATAATTCATGCCTAGCTACATGTATGTGTGATTATACATTTGGTCTTTGTAACTTACCCTTTTTATAAAGGTGTTCCAATGCCTTCCATGTATCAGCCCTTACTGTCCTTGGGTCACCATCACTTCCATTCCCTGGCCAGTGCAGCATGTACAGATCTACATAAATGAAATAGATTGTTTTGAACAGAATCATGACTTTTAGGGCGCAAAATTTTTTTGTAGGACCTCAAACAATGGGCCTTTTGGGCATAACTTGGCCTTTAAGGGCCAAATTATCAATACATTAGTCTTAAATTTTCAAAAGGCCCCAATTTTTGGTTTTAGGGTAGCGGCACAAAAATTTGTTCAAAACATTTTTCCTGACTTCAAATGTTAACTTCTAGATCCACCAGTGCATACCCTCGTTAATGAATTTTAATTGTAAGAAATTAATATGAAGTACTGTAGTTTTAAATATTATACTCTCGTTAATGAATTTTAATTGTAAGAAATTAATATGAAGTACAGTAGTTTTAAATATTATACTCTCGTTAATGAATTTTAATTGTAAGAAATTAATATGAAGTACTGTAGTTTTAAATATTATGCTCTCGTTAATGAATTTTAATTGTAAGAAATTAATATGAAGTACAGTAGTTTTAAATATTATACTCACATTAATGAATTTTAATTGTAAGAAATTAATATGAAGTACTGTAGTTTTAAATATTATGCTCTCGTTAATGAATTTTAATTGTAAGAAATTAATATGAAGTACTGTAGTTTTAAATATTATACTCTCGTTAATGAATTTTAATTGTAAGAAATTAATATGAAGTACAGAAGTTTTAAATATTATACTCTCGTTAATGAATTTTAATTGTAAGAAATTAATATGAAGTACTGTAGTTTTAAATATTATGCTCTCGTTAATGAATTTTAATTGTAAGAAATTAATATGAAGTACTGTAGTTTTAAATATTATACTCACGTTAATGAATTTTAATTGTAAGAAATTAATATGAAGTGCTGTAGTTTTAAATATTAGAACATTGAATATGCATGCTACAGTAGAACCATCCATATAAATCCTATCATTTAAATTTTATATTAAGTCATACATACCTACATAATCAGTACCAAGGCGATCGAGAGATCCTTCAAAAGCTTCCAAGGCCTGCTCATAACCATAGTTTTCCCATCTCAGTTTTGTGGTGATAAAGATTTCCTCCCGAGGGATACCACTTTCCTGAATGGATTTGAAGAAAACTTTTTTCATATTGTATCATCATTTAATGTTCTTAATCAACACAGCATTTTCAGATTTTGCCAGTTTTTGCCAGTTGCAAATGTGAAATGAAACTGCTCCGTCACAGTGGACAAAATATACTACAGTATATGTAGTATACTACAGTATATATATGTAATATAGAAAAACCAGAACAACGGCAACTCCAAAGCGTAGCGAATCCCATCGAACAGCCATGGATGGCATTTTTACAAACAAAGTATATAGCAAAAATGGCAGGCATTTTTCAAAATGGCCACCTTCTACCAAAAGTGTCATTAGACCATTTGCCATACTTATAGTATTCACATACCAAATATGAACAAAATCGCTCCACTACTTTTCGAGTTATAGTAAAATACGTTAAAATCGCAGCCATTTTGAAAAATGGCCACCTTCTACCAAAAGTGTCATTAGACAGTGTGCCATCCTTGTAGTATTCACATACCAAATATGAACAAAATCGCTTCACTACTTTTCGAATTATTATAAAATACATTAAAATGGCGGCCATTTTTTAAAATTTTTTTCAAAATGGCTACCTTCTACTAAAAGTGTCATAGGATAGTGTGTCATGCTTTTAGCATTCACATACCAAATATGAACAAAATCGCTCCACTACTTTTCGAGTTATAGTAAAACACGTTAAAATGGCGGCCATTTTTCAAAATGGCCGCCTTCTACCAAAAGTGTCATTAGACAGTGTGCCATCCTTGTAGTATTCACATACCAAATATGAACAAAATCGCTTCACTACTTTTCGAGTTATAGTAAAATAGGTAAAAAAGGCGGCCATTTTTCAAAATGGCGGCCATTTTTTAAAATGGCGGCCATTTTTTAAAATGGCCACCTTCTTCAAAAAGTGTCTTTAGACAGTGTGCAATGTTTATAGTATTCACATACCAAATATGAACAAAATCGCTCCACTATACTTTTCGAGTTACAGCAAAAATCGTAAAATAACGAGTAAAGGCCACCATTTTTCAAGATGGCTGCCATGTGCTTCTTTAATTTTGCTCAAAAGACAGTTGTACTAGTAAAATACGAAAAACTTGAATGGAAAATCACTATATCTTGGAAAATACTAATTCAATTATGCTCATTTTTTCAGGAAAAGAAAGAAGAGACTGTGTATGTATAGCTCCTGTTGTCAGTAAGTTGTAAAACATGATGCCTTGGACACCTGCTCAAATGACAGTTGTACTAGGAAAATATGAAAGCGCAGTCAGAGGTGACTGCCACAGCAATAAAACCAAATAACTTTCTAACCATAGTGTTTTGGCGCTTCAGATTTGGCACAAATTATCCTCATTCAATGTGTGGTGAATTTGTGGAGTTTCATCAAAATCACTCCAGGGACTATACAGCCACGGTCAAAATGTCTCCCTGAACCAGGGCATTTGACTGCGATTTGAAAGCATTTCAACCATGACAGTGAAGTCCCTGAAGTGATTTTGATTTCACTCTACAGATTTACCATACAGTGAATGAAGATGGTTTGTGCCAAATTTGAAGAGCCAGCCAAAACACTATGGTTAGGAAGTAATTGAATTTTTTGCAGTTGCAGTCACCTTTGACTGCGTTTTTCGTATTTTCCTAGTACAACTGACTTTTGAGCAGGTGTCCAAGGCATCATGTTTTCCAAGTAACCATTTACAAGAGCTATACATACACAGTCTCTTCTTTATTTCCTGAAAATATGAACATAATTGAACCAGTATTTTTCAAGATATATCAATTTCTTTGGGTTGCGTTTTTTTTTAACACCCTGACCCTGTATATCATGCCATTAAAAAGTAAAAAAATGGTACATTTTAGAGTTTGATACTCTGGCCCCGTTTTCAATATCAGTACCTTTATGGAGAGTCTTATGGGTCCTTCTGACCCATAACGCTCCGCAGTGTCAATCATACGGTACCCACAATCCCTCAGTGCATAAACAATGGCTTCATTGCTATAACCTCCATTGTGAGAGGTACCTGAATATTAAAGCAATATTGCATGATATACTTTGTCCTAAGACAAGTGAGGTTTTAGGAACATCAGCAGATTATAGAATTGATACCTCCCACTGTATATCTCTCGATGTGTATCTCCAGCTTAAATATTCCGAGGAAAAGATACAGTCAAGAGAGCAAACTTGTCGATGGATGCAGCAAACAGTAGAATTTTGCTAGACCAAAATTTCATCAATTTCTCAAAAATAGTGAGAATGAAAAAACCTGTAAATGGGTGCCATGAAAACCTCATTTTCGAAACCTCACTTGTCATAGGATAGATTAGTTATGTGATGCTTGGTTTTGAATATGGGGTATATCCCTCGGGATATCTTACCTCAGACCCTCTGTGCCCTCAGTATGATATCTATATTTCCCTCAAGATATACCCCATACCCAACACCTCACATAATATACATGTAGCCCTCGCATGTATAAATCTAAATATTCATACATAATTTTACACAAATTTACCTTAAATATTTATACATTATTCTCAGTTCTCACATATATTGTAATAATTAGAGAAATATTACTTACCTATTCCAAATATGGGCATCTTAAGTTGGTTTCGCAAGATAACTTTTGTGGCAATATTCATTTTAGTAGCCATGTGATATTCTTCTGATACAACTGTTGACAACTGTTCTGATACAAGTAGACAATCTTTAAAACTGTCCCAAAGGCATCCTTAATGCGCAGCAGTTACTGAAAACAAAATATTTATCAATAGTTTTAAAGGAATTCATACAAAGCTAGGCAAGGTATGTCGAGTTCCAGAAAATAAGAACACAGTATTTCATATAATGCGGATGCTAAAATAATTTGATGAACCACACACCTACCCTAATGCATGTGGGCTATTTTTAGATTAGGAAGTAACTGAGTGAAAACCTACAACTACTATCATATAGGGAATAACAAGGCAGATGCTTATGTAGGTCAAATGCCTGAATGTCAAATGGTAAGTGTTGACCTAGTTTTGAACATTTAACCTAACTTTGGAAAAATGTCCTCGCAAAATATTCAGTTTTTTAGTGATACAGAACAAATCTTTTGCAAGGAGTGAAAAGAATTAAGTACATGACTTAATGCATTGTGGATGATTTTATTCACACACATGCTGCTTCTCATAGTTTGAATTCAGGCTGCCACACTCATTCAAAGGTCTGGAAACAACACGTACATGTACATTGTCGAAATATCCTACAATACATTGAGTCCTGGACTCATTTAATATATCACACTGCAGATGGACAAACAGATGTGGTAGTTGAATTCAATACAGTTTAGAAAATAATCAATAACAAATTACTAAATACAAATAGGGACTATTGACCTGATACAATTAATGTAGTGACCTGATAAGTGAATACTGACCAGAGGCATTTGGTGAAAACTGACTAAAAGAAATGTGGTGAATACTGACCACAGACATGTGGTGAATATTGAATGAAAGACATGTTGCGAATATCAACCAGAGACATTTGGTGAAAACTGACTAAAAGAAATGTGGTGAAAACTAACCAAAGACATGTGGTGAATACTGACTGAAAGACATGTGGTGAATACTGACCAAAGACATGTGGTAAATACTGACTGAAAGACATGTGGTGAATACTGATCAGAGACATGTGGTGAATACTGACTAAAATAAAAGTGGTGAATACTGACCACAGACATGTGGTGAATACTGAATGAAAGACATGTGGTAAATATTGAATAAAAGACATGTGGCGAATATCAACCAAAGACATGTGGTGAATATTAACCAGAGACATGTGGTGAATACTGATCAGAGACATGTGGTGAATACTGACTGAAAGACATGTGGTAAATACTGACTGAAAGACATGTGGTGAATACTGATCAGAGACATGTGGTGAATACTGACTAAAAGAAATGTGGTGAATACTGACCACAGGCATGTGGTGAATATTGAATGAAAGACATGTTGCTAATATCAACCAGAGACAGGTGGTGAATATCAACCAGAGACATGTGGTGAATATTAACCAGAGACATGTGGTGAATATTGACAAGAGATATGTGGTGAATATTAACCAGAGACATGTGGTGAATATTAACCAGATACATGTGGTGAATATCAACCAGAGACATGTGGTGAATATCAACCAGAGACATGTGGTGAATATCAACCAGAGACATGTGGTGAATATTAACCAGAGACATGTGGTGAATATCAACCAGAGACATGTGGTGAATATTAACCAGAGACATGTGGTGAATATCAACCAGAGACATGCGGTGAATATTAACCAGAGACATGTGGTGAATATTAACCAGAGACATGTGGTGAATATCAACCAGAGACATGTGGTGAATATCAATCAGAGACATGTGGTGAATATCAACCAGAGACATGTGGTGAATATCAACCAGAGACATGTGGTGAATATCAAACAGAGACATGTGGTGAATATCAACCAGAGACATGTGGTGAATATTAACCAGAGACATGTGGTGAATATTAACCAGAGACATATGGTGAATATTAACCAGAGACATGTGGTGAATATTAACCAGAGAAATGTGGTGAATATTAACCAGAGACATGTGGTGAATATCAACCAGAGACATGTGGTGAAAATCAACCAGAGACATGTGGTGAATATCAAGCAGAGACATGTGGTGAATATCAACCAGAGACATGTGGTGAATATTAACCAGAGACATGTAGTGAATATTAACCAGAGACGTGTGGTGAATACTGATAAGAGACATGTGGTGAATACTGACTAAAATACATGTGGTGAATGCTGACGGAAAGACATGTGGTGAATACTGACCACAGACATGTGGTGAATACTGACCAGACATGTGGTGAATACTGACCCGAGACATTTGGTAAAAATTGACTAAAAAACATGTGGTGAATAGGCCTACTGACCAGACTAACTGCGTTAGTGACAAATTCTGTCATGCAATTAAATGGGCGTGACTTCAATTTCTTCTGTAAATGCATGACAAATGAGCAAATTTCCGGACAGATGTAAACGGCATGATGAATATTCGTTACGGTACCAACAGACTTCAGTATTAATGAAGCGCACTACCCCTGATGTACCCCTATAAATGTGAGGGCTGATTTGGATATTTTCTAATTTTTGACATCATTTCTATAGTCATATAAATCCGACCGTTGTATGCTGTTCTTCGATATTCCTTGTTCTTATTTGGATATTTATTTTTTATCATTTTCTTTGCATACACGGTCGCTCATATGCAAGAAAATAAGAAAAAATAAATATCCAAAACAGAAAAAATAACAACAAATAGATCTAACATCATACGAGGGTCAGATTTATATGACTAGATCTATTGCATGTGGAAAACCTTCCAATCATGCTCACCATTCATCTTTCAAATGATACCAAATATGTTTTAGCAAGACCATGTGAATAAAAACCACGGCAATACTGATTAGAGAGATCAGGTTTTACCGTCACTCACCGGATTTTTTGTAATGTTTTTTTGCCTCTATCGCAAACAAAATATATTTGGCGTGTCGTGTATTTTTAACGAATCAGATTGCAGGAAACATTAACTTCACTTCAATATCCGGTAGCAAAAATGTGAAAAGTAAAATGATATTTCATATTTACATTCATTTTAGTATTCATATGCGATATAATTGATTCTTAACCTTGTTTGTTGGAAGACAGATATATACGAATTGTGAAACGGGTAACAATACGACTGAATAATTGAAAGGTAAGCCATATTTTTAATCTGAATGTTGACCTAATTTACTGATTGTTGAAAAAATTTTTGTTGATTTTTAAAGAATCCCTAGAGTCTTATCTTGTAAAACTTGTCTTATTACGTAAGCGAAGAAGGTCGGACATATTTATATCCTAATCCCTATCTTCAAGAAGAGTCTGAATTATGCTTGGTGATCTTCGGTTGCCTCACATTATACTAGTGCTCTTGCACAGCACATCGGTTGGCAGTTATCTTGTTCCAACACCATCCTCTTCGTTTCTGGTCTTGGAGGGGATCCATTAAAACACACAGTATTTTTTAAAAGTCAAATTTTAACGGCGTTAGGTACGCAAAAGAAATGTTCTCCCCAAGCCAGAAAAGCCGCGGCTGTCTCAGTTATATACACTTCAATCTTCGAGCCGACCAGTATAATTTAGCTTATTTCAAAATGTCTGCCATGAACATTTCATCCAGTGCCTACATTTCAATCTCTTTTTCCCGGGAACATTATCCTTCAAACTTGAGAAATTAGTTAGCTCAATTAATACGGAATCAAGTCAAGCAACATTGATAAATCGTGAGTAACGATGTATTTGAATGATTTCGCTGGAAATTGCTGTTGTATTTGACGTGTTGTTAGGTAAAATGCAAGGAAATTCCCTCGGCCGATCGGTGTCAGCCAATGCTGAATGTTTTCTTCATTTATATATTACTACGCGTCATGTAGGTTAAAATAGTCCGAAAGTGACGTCATCAAATTCATGGATGACATTTTGGAAAACCACTGGATTTGAAGTTTGTAGTGTATATTACTGCGATTTGAGACAGCCGAACTTTTCTGCCTTTAGAAGAATGTTTCTTGTGATGTTAAGAATCGATAGAGGTAAGAAATATGTGCGTAGCTATCGCCGATAAATTTCAACTTTTGAAAAATAACATGCGCTTCAATATATCCCCCGCAAGACTAGAACGTAGAGATAGTCTTGGAACGAGATAAGGTTGGCAGTATATCGTACTCCTTACCTTACTTCCTAAACTCTGTTCAAAATAATTATACAGCCTGCAAATTCACCGTTTATGCATATTTATAAAATAAAGTAGTAAATCCAACTTTATCAGTTAGTTTATAGATAATATAATAAAGCACTAAGCGAAAATAAATAAACGAAAGGTTCAACTTCAGACTATGATATACCATCAACCTTTTACTTATTTATCTATTCTAAACCTACATGTATTTTATGAAGTTAGATACTAAAGTTGGGAACATAAATAATGAATAACACTATAAAAAAGACATTCTGTCGCACATGTATTAATGAACGGTGATTTTGGAGCCCGATTACGTCTCAAAGAGTATAATGGCTCCCAGAATGCAACATGACACGAGACAGCTTTCAAAATGTAAGTCCGCCATTTTGAAACCTGTCACGAGTAAATAAAGTAACTGATGTTGCATTCTGGGAGTCAATCCTTGGATCACAAGAATGGCGATACATGAAAACATTCGTTCGATTTGGTAGGAATTTATCTATCATTTACAGGTATGAAGTTTTGGACTCATTTATTGTGCTTCTTAGATAGAGTGAACGGGAATTATTTTTATACCATTTCAGACATAAAACTTAGAATTTAGCTCATTGTGACAACTTTTGTTGGTTGAGGTTTCTTAAAATCTTCCAGTTTATGTAACTGCTGACCAGTAGCTTAATATTCAATTAAGGAGGTAGAATAGAAGTAGAATTAATATAATATTGGGAATTTCAACTTTGACTTGTACCTCACAATTCAAATACCACAACATTTTAAAGTTATTTTTGTGATAGTGTCTGTCACAGGTGTATTGTGTGATCTTTTTGAATGATAGATGGCCTGCCAAGGACATATTACAAGATCTACTCGTAAAGTGTGATTGAGTTTTGCAATGTTGATTAATCAATAGCTAACCTTTCTAATAAATAATTAAGAACTTGTTTCAACAGCCGATATCAACCCGGAAATTCAGTGGCAGTCACTTTCCAGTTATGGAAATATACAGTCTCAGTAGGCCCACTGTATTTCCAGGATGAAGCTGTCATCTGCTGATATAAGTTTCTGTCCTGGTTGGGCAAATAATACATGTTTATATTTAGAAAATTAACCATCTATGATGATGTCTGGGCAGTAAGTAATTCCACCCATTTAGAATATTTTGCATTGGTCATGGTCATCATTTTACTCAATATTCTCTAAATTGAATACATTAAAGTGTATATATTATCTAGACACTCAGGACTCTCGCCAGGCTTTTAGACTGTGGCGCAGCACCACACTCTATTTAGCTCCCTCCACACCCTATTGGCAAATCATGACTATTTCCACAGTCTAAACTTGGCTTACTATACAATTAGCATGTAAAAAGGATAAAACATAACTTAAATATGATTTATCACGATTGAACGGTTATTAAGAAGATGTTAGCACCACACCCTAAATATTTCCTGGTGAGAGCCCTGACACTGATTTTTAGAAAACATCTTCGTTATGATTCTTTAAAAGCACCCATCTTTTACTTTATTGCCAGAAATATAGATATGAAGCACAATTGAATCAGGAATCATCTTAGAAAAATTGAGACTCGTGCAAAACTCTATGAAATTAAATTAATGAGCTGTGAAGTTTTGAACAAAATCAAATTATCTTTGATTGGAATTTTCTTGTAGTTTCTCCTCCTTTTCAAGTTCAAATAAGACATGTATGCGCTTGCTGAATAAGCAATTAAAAGAAATTAGTGCCTTTTGAAAGGAAAATCTGTGACCATTGTGAGATTTTTTGATTGGTTGATTCCAAGATTGATAAATAAAATAGCATACATTTTGTATTTATCGATCTAGGATTTTATTAACTCTATGCAATAATATTTCTCAAAATAAAGTTCATGAAATGGTTACTTAACTTAGTAGCATGATTTCGAATAATCTTGTTAACTTGTAAATTCTAAAATTTAAGACTTAAAATAACCATGGCAGAACTTCATTCAGCACAACCTATCCTCTAAAATCAAACAGGAAAATGAATATTGCTTTGAAAGTGCCTTATTTTTGGTGAAATAATTGTTGCATAATTGATAACCGTTCCCCCATTTATTGTTCTGTTGACTGGTTGTGGGTATGTATGAATGTAATTCATGCATGTTTTTGTCCTATCATATATAAGTCAAATCTGGTGTAGTATCTCACACTGATTTCATTAAGAAAACACTGAAGCCACTTGTACGTGTATGTGTATGTCTGGTACACTAATCATAGCTCAATTGTCGGGTGAACGCATGTTTGTTTTGTATCCTCCGCCACTGCTCCCTATCTAGTGACCTCAATGTACCGTCAAAGTAACAACATTAATGTGATGTCCAGGGGTTTCATTAGCAGCAGGCAACGAGCAATTTTCACTGGTTGTTTTCACAGAATCGTGTGTTGTTTTTATTAGGGACTTTTCAACTTTTCCATGTTAAATTCATGATTTCCATTAATTTTGCCTGTTGTTTTCATATATTTAGCCTGTTGTGAGAAATTCTAGTGAAACCTCTGGATGTCCTTCCAGTATTTGGATATTTCTTTTCTTTCGTCAAAGTGGCTAGATGGGGAGAAGTGCCCTGGTTCTTCCAGAGTTTTGTGTCTACCCAGAGCATAGCACAGCTAGGGAGGATCTGGATGAGATCAGGGGAGTTGATCCCCTCAATGGAATTGTAGTTAAGAGATATATGTTCCCTGCATTCAGGGTTGGTTTACCCCCTACTTTGTAAAAATGATTTCCTCCTTAAATTGTGCTTGATAGCTGTATCCAGTTATTGGAGTGGTGAATATCTGTACCTTATTGTTAATCATAATATCATGGTTGTCTGTTGAAAGGATGTTTTGAGTATTGACTGAAATAAGATATTGAATCATGAACTAATTAGGTGAGACCCCATGATATTGTAGAAGGTAATCGTTGTTAAATAGAATATTGTCTGGTGAAAGTTTGTTTAATTGTGTAACTTAAATTTATATTTCTGATAATAATTTCAATTTATACAAATCTTAAATATTCTGAAGAAAAACTGACATATTCTAAATACCCAGTATTGAATTTGAAATATTATTTTTAACAAGCAATCTCACATTTATCATATTGCTGAATCAAGTATATAAGCTCTTTTAACTCATACTGTTTTCAGTTTTGTTGTTTATGACTGTAAATTTGATTAATTAATATAGAATTACCAAAATTGATCACCCATTATTTTTCAATAACTATATGATTAAAACTCCCATACTCTCATTAATGTGGTTAGAGAATGTCTCTGGTGGTAATTGTTTGACAATTTTTGAGAGAAGGAGGGTGAACCAAATAAGAAGTTTGAAACCTTGCATCCCAAATCCTCTTGCATAGTAGTGAATAGTGATGACTAACCAAAACTAAAACAGATTGGAATCCTACATCTCCGGGGTGAATTCCTCCCTGGCTACAAGCCTCATATGACCAATATAGTAGTCCTACATTCCTAGATTATATTCGTCCCTGGCTACAAGTCTCTTATGACCAATCTAGTAGTCCTACATTCATAGATTATATTCGTCTCTGGCTACAAGTCTCTTATGACCAATATAGTAGTCCTACATTCCTAGATTATATTCGTCCCTGGCTACAAGCCTCATATGACCAATATAGTAGTCCTACATTCCTAGATTATATTCATCCCTGACTTCAAGTCTCTTATGACCAATATAGTAGTCCTACATTTCTAGATTATATTCGTCCCTGGCTACAAGCCTCCTTTGACCAATATAGTAGTCCTACATTCCTAGATTATATTCGTCCCTGGCTACAAGTCTCTTATGACCAATATAGTAGTCCTACATTCATAGATTATATTCGTCTCTGGCTACAAGTCTCTTATGACCAATATAGTAGTCCTACATTCCTAGATTATATTCGTCCCTGGCTACAAGCCTCATATGACCAATATAGTAGTCCTACATTCCTAGATTATATTCGTCCCTGGCTACAAGCCTCCTATGACCAATATAGTAGTCCTACATTTCTAGATTATATTCGTCCCTTGGTACAAGCCACATATGACCAATATAGTAGTCCTACATTCATAGATTATATTCGTCCCTGGCTACAAGCCTCCTATGACCAATATAGTAGTCCTACATTCCTAGATTATATTCGTCCCTGGCTACAAGCCTCCTATGACCAATATAGTAGTCCTACATTCCTAGATTATATTTGTCCCTGGCTACAAGCCTCCTATGACCAATATAGTAGTCCTACATTCCTAGATTATATTCGTCCCTGGCTACAAGCCTCCTTTGACCAATATAGTAGTCCTACATTCCTAGATTATATTCGTCCCTGGCTACAAGCCTCATATGACCAATATAGTAGTCCTACATTCATAGATTATATTCGTCCCAGGCTACAAGCCTCCTATGACCAATATATTAGTCCTACATTCCTAGATTATATTCGTCCCTGGCTACAAGCCTCATATGACCAATCTAGTAGTCCTACATTCCTAGATTATATGCGTCCCTGGCTACAAGTCTCTTATGACCAATCTAGTAGTCCTACATTCATAGATTATATTCGTCTCTGGCTACAAGTCTCTTATGACCAATATAGTAGTCCTACATTCATAGATTATATTCGTCTCTGGCTACAAGTCTCTTATGACCAATCTAGTAGTCCTACATTCATAGATTATATTCGTCCCTAGCTCTAAGCCTCCTATGACCAATATAGTAGTCCTACATTCCTAGATTATATTCGTCCCTGGCTACAAGCCTCATATGACCAATCTAGTAGTCCTACATTCCTAGATTATATGCGTCCCTGGCTACAAGCCTCCTATGACCAATATAGTAGTCCTACATTCCTAGATTATATTCGTCCCTGGCTACAAGCCTCCTATGACCAATATAGTAGTCATACATTCCTAGATTATATTCGTCCCTGGCTACAAGCCTCATATGACCAATCTAGTAGTCCTACATTCCTAGATTATATTCATCCCTGGCTACAAGTCTCTTATGACCAATATAGTAGTCCTACATTCCTAGATTATATTCGTCCCTGGCTACAAGCCTCATATGACCAATCTAGTAGTCCTACATTCCTAGATTATATGCGTTCCTGGCTACAAGCCTCATATGACCAATCTAGTAGTCCTACATTCCTAGATTATATTCGTCCCTGGCTACAAGCCTCATATGACCAATCTAGTAGTCCTACATTCCTAGATTATATGCGTCCCTGGCTACAAGCCTCATATGACCAATCTAGTAGTCCTACATTCATAGATTATATTCGTCTCTGGCTACAAGCCTCATATGACCAATCTAGTAGTCCTACATTCCTAGATTATATTCGTCCCTGGCTACAAGCCTCATATGACCAATCTAGTAGTCCTACATTCCTAGATTATATGCGTCCCTGGCTACAAGCCTCATATGACCAATATAATAGTCCTACATTCATAGATTATATTCGTCCCAGGCTACAAGCCTCCTATGACCAATATAGTAGTCCTACATTCCTAGATTATATTCATCCCTGGCTACAAGTCTCTTATGACCAATATAGTAGTCCTACATTCCTAGATTATATTCGTCCCTGGCTACAAGCCTCATATGACCAATATAGTAGTCCTACATTCCTAGATTATATTCATCCCTTGCTACAAGCCTCATATGACCAATCTAGTAGTCCTACATTCATAGATTATATTCGTCTCTGGCTACAAGCCTCATATGACCAATAAAGTAGTCCTACTAACACTTAGTTTCTTTTTCATTTTTCTGTGTTCCTAATTGGCACATCAGGAGGTTTGGTGCTGATTCTATGGCATGGTTACCTCACCAGTAAGTATACAACTTCTACCCTCCTAACCTCTGACTGTTCATTAGAAAATCAAAACATCTTTAACATATGTTAAAATGGCTAGAGAATGGTTTTATTTGAGGATTCTAGCTCATTGTTAAACAGAGCAATTGAAGATTTAGGTACTTGTTCAATGGGGAGTTTAAGCTTGCATATAAAATTAAAACGCCAATCTATATGTGTGACCAATGGCCCATAAAAAATGCATTGCTTAAATATTTTCAGTTCACATTTAGGTTGTGAAAAACATTGCAAGTTAAACTCCCTATTGTTTAAAAGGTAAGATTTCTATGTTATCAGTCATCAGAGGGTTGAATTAATCTCCATTCCCTTTGTCCCTTTGTATTGCTTCCTCAAAATCAGAAGGGGGATGTAGAAAGTATTTAAAGGAATTACTAAATGCATATAAACATTTAAAAATACAGACCCACTCTGATTGTTGAAAAATGTTCCTTAGGTCTATTTTGGGTTTAGTTAAAAATGTTACCCATTTTGATTATTCAGAAAGTTAAACAGTGTTAAAGGGCTACTAATTTGAAAGGTTCCATTTTTGGTTCATTTAGAAATGTGTACATCTGAAAAATATGTGCATTGTGTTTTCCAAGTTAGTGTTCCCCTTCAGGAGAGGTGTAGGTCTAAATATTTCAAGATTCTTTATTAATCGAAATAATGTTAAAATCAAGGTGGGTTTGTACAGGTGAGAACCCTGTTGTGTGTATAGATATAATGCTCTGTTTACAAAAACATACCAGAGTTCAAAATAAAGAATCTCCCTCTTAATTGACCAGATATTATATTATCCCCTCCTTTTGCCTCAATGGTCATATCCTTAATGTACTCACTGAAATATTGTAGATTGTTTCTGTATTTTGTTTCAGCCTGAGCAACATGAGTAAGCAACAGCAACAGGCACAGCAGGTGCAGCAACATTTACAACAACAACAGCAACAACAGCAGCAACAACAACAACAACAGCAGCAGCAAAATCAACAGAAAATGAAGAAGGTACGATCATGGTGTGGAGCAGACTTATTTGAAGTGTCAGTGAGATAGATAACTCTTGTAAAATGACAACTAGGGTGTAATAGGCTAAATGTCCTCTTTTAAATATTCATTGTTACTAGTTTAATTTGGGTAATATTTCTATATTTTTCATGAAAAAAATTATTAGCCCAGGAGACTGTTCTCCAAACCGAGAATTGTCCTTTGTATTGAACCAGTGTCATTATCTTATATATCTTGTACTGTATTATTGGTATTTAATCCGAGTGGTTAATTTGCACAATTGTCAAATTTTATCATTTTCCTAATTTTAACTTTCTCAATAACAACGAACTCCAATGCAGTGTCTCGGTATAGACACTGCGGCGGGCAGATGAAGCAAATCCCCAAAATGTGGGGAAAATAGTTCCCCTTTTCATCGCATGTGTGGTCAATTTTCACACAACTTATAAAATATGTATTCATGAATGTTCCCCAAACATTATTTTGTCAAAATATTTCAAAATTATTGAAATATGAGAAGAAATCACCGCGGAAGGAATTCTGAGTAAAAGTTTTGTTGATAATAGTTTACCGCACGTGTTGTTTATTAGTTAATACGCGCAATTCAACCAATGAAATTGTCTAAATTTTACAATCACGCGACCTGAGCATGGGACTAGAACCAATCACGTCAGTTGTTTATTACGAAGTTACCATGCTTACGGTGAGATACCTGCCCGCCGCAGTGATATATCACTGCACGGGAGTTCGCAATAACAAGAAACTTCCCATTGGATAGCATTATGAAAATAATATTTCCAACATTTAATTTTCTGAACCTGGTAAAATTAGGCAATAGACAAATTAAATGATTAGACAAAATTACCACTTATATATAGTATTTCCATAATATTGAATCTTTGAATGCAAAAACACAATTTGGCTATGAAAACTATATGTTAACTTTAATTGCCACAATTTATATTGTATCAGATGCTGGCACAGTTTTGCCGGAAGTTTGCAAGAAGTAACTTTTGGCAATGCAGTATGTTAGAGTAACCTAGTAGGTGTAAGAAAATATAAGGTGATGGCCTTTAAAGTGGTAAAAACAATTTTCACGGCCGAATTGGACTTCAATTCCTGCGATTTCAGGGGGTACTATAAGACTATTTCATAACATAAAGGATATAGTTGCTATTGTTCTGCTTTCTACAGCACACATTGCTAGTCCAAAGATGAATAATATCCTAAAGTTATAGGCCGATATCTGTATTAGTCTCAGAAATATTGCAATTAATAGTAAAAAAATATGCAATTTTAGTCATTTTTAAGTCTCACTTATCTTATATTTGTAGCTTCCAGCAAAAGATGGCAGCTTAAATAGCTCAAAATTGTTTTCTAAAAACTAATTCAAGCTTTGTTTGATATTGTAATACAATTATAATAATGATAATGTACTATTTATGATTTTTAATATGACTTTACAGTACCCTACCCCTGGAAAGTGGGCGTGGTCAATGTTATCATTTTGCAGCATGCAATTAAAAACTTATATTGATAGAAAGCAAATCAATGCATTTTTAACATTTTCACTTGTTACTTGACATTGTAATTCATTCATTACTAAAATATAGGACTCTACATGTTTTATATATACGTTTTCAATTTTGTACAATGTATCATGATGAAATCTAATAGGCTGGTTCATTTTCAGTGTTCACTAACGCATGAAATGTAAGTCACAGTGTTTCCAAATTACCTTTGCAATGAGAAAGTACCACAAAGACTACATAATATGAGCAGTTTCAAGGTCCTAATACTAATACTTACTTAGGGAAAAGCTGTAGCAAGTATGATTTTCACCATTTTTTCATCTAAGACTGCAACTTTCTGAATTTTCCTTTTACAAACTGCACAGTAAGACCAAAGACATTAAAGGAAACCTGGTCATTGTACCACCAATAATAGGTAAAAATAATATTGGTAATATATACCAAGTGTTTACTTTAATTCCAAGGCATCTGAATTGATAAATAAATGAAATCAGTACTTTATTGTATCTTGGGACAAAATACACTGTTTGCATGCTTAAGCTTGACAGCACAGTATCAAGTGAAAGATACGTTGTTTTATACCACTCTAAGTCCGATTACAGTTGTATAACATGGGTCTATAACAACGATATACAGTGGAGAGTGGTATATCGTCATCGTATACAACTCCTCCGTATACACTCCAGCGTATACCACTGTAGAAGTGCATTCTGGGAACTTATGAATATTGACCGAAGAACGAGGTGTATGTTTTGTTACACATGATTTCCTAGAATCAAGTGACGTCATAAATGGATCGAGAGTTGGCTATGAGATATTTTTATGGTTTTTATAATTGTTATGATTGTGTTTGAATCAACTGTAATTGAACTTAGAGTGGCATAATAAGATTATATAATGGTTCATTCTGTATATCGTGCATTGTATACTCTCGTGAGAATATAATATATTCACTCGTTCGCTACGCTCACTTGTGAATATATTATATACTCACTCGAGTATAAACACGATATACAGAATGGACCATTATATAACCTCATAATATACAGCTATATATCACTTTAACTGACTTTACTCTTCAATTTGAAATATGCCTGGCCATTCTAAGAAAAATGCGACGGAGGGCAAAGAGGGTGCATGGTATAATTGGTAATTAAGCTCTTCTAGAGTTTAAAGCTCCCACAATTTTTAAAAACGAAATGGAGAATAACATGTGAAAGTATAGGATGGACTAATTGTTCTAAGAAAGTTTTTGAAAGTAACATTGCATGAAATATTTAAGCAAGAGATATGTTCCAAAATACTTTCAGGTAGAAATAAAGCTCCATAATGTAAAAACAGTGTATTCTCAGTATTCAATAATAACATTCTTTATAGGTTTTTTGGTCTTAAGCATATCAGTGATTATCCTACACTTAGTGTACTAAATGTATAATAACATTAAAAAATAAATTTGATATTTATTGGCAAAATGAATATCCGGAGGATATCGTGATGATATATTCCGGGCGGAGGATATCGTGACGATATTCTCAAGAAAACCCAATATGCGGATGATATTGTGACGATATACCCCGCTTGTTGATTTCTCGCCATATTGACTCTATTTTGCATGAAATTCATTTTGCAATGATATCATACATTTAGTACACTCCTTATAAGTGTAGGATAATAAGAACATCCTATGATTTTTTTCAGAATATCATTTTAATCTACTCTTTGATATTGATATATGCACTCGTTCGCTTCGCTCTCTCGTGCAGATATCAATATCACCTTGTAGATAAAAATGATATTCCTCAAAATCATAGGATATCCTATAATTATCCCATGGTTGCAAGGATATAGATCGAATATCACATGAAGATATATTTGATATGTGGATCAAGTTATAATATTTTAGCAAAAAATTCACAAACCATCGAATATCACTTTTAAACTATCGAATATCACGTCTTAAAAAGTGATATTCGGTGGTTTGAAAAGTGATATTCCATGGTTTCGAATTTTTTCAAAAAAAAAATTATTTTTACATTTTTTAATTGTTTCAAAAATATTTAAAAAAAATTTCAACATTTTTTCACAATTTTTTTTCAATTATTTTTTCAAATTTTTTCTCGAATTATATTTTTCACATTTTTTTGCTGATGATGATTTCCCATGGGATAAATACTTTTTTTTCAAAAATATCAATTATATCCACTCATGGATACAAATATCTTCACTCACTTGCTGCGCTCACTCATGAAAATATCAATATCCACTCATGGATATAAATGATATTTTTTCAAAACCATAGGATATTCCTATATATTATATCAATCCGGATGCTGAAGTCACTTAATAAATAATAACTAGATGTAACTCCTAGTGAGCACTTCAAGTTTCAGTTCTAAATAAAATACAATTTAGTTAAAAAATTGTTAAGAATACACACATTTTTTCACAATCACAATTTCACAATTTCTGACTGTATTTTGCATATTTTTAGGTGTCAATGGTTCAATGATTATTTGATATAACCTCCTGAAACTACTCTCATATATATTTGGTGGTACAGTGATATGGAATCCTGTCTTTTGGGGTCTCACCGAATTCTTGTTTTAGAGAAGAAAATCCTGAAAGCTGCAGTTTAATATTATGAATTATAGGTGAAAATTGCACTTGCTACACTGCTTCTCCCATTTTTAGATGCTAATAAATCTGTAACTACACTTACTATGACCTTAAGTCTACTCATATGTAGTATTGGTATTACTAACTAGAGGCAGAATCAGAAATTATGGTAAATAAAAGTAAAATTTAAGAGATAAATTGTTCTGAATAGTGCATTTTGTCACATTTTTTCGCGATATCTGACTGCATCTTTTGGGTCTTTTTAAGAGTCCATGCAGATATGAATAGTTGATCTAGAGCTCTGAAATTTTCAATACCAGAATTTGGTAGCACTATGTCTTGATATCCTGTGTTTGGACGCTAACCAAATCACAGTTGTTGAGAAAAGAATTCATAAGTAGCAGTTTTAATTCAAAATTAGTTGAAACGGCACTCAAGACAGCTTTCCTCATTTTTGAAAGCCAATAGAATGGCAAGCATTTACACCATGATCTTGAACCTGGGCATACATATTCTTAATGGCACTATCTCATTGCCCAGATATTGTGGAAACATTGTGACTTATATTCCATGTGATAGTAAGCACTGAAAATGGACTTGTTGCATTGTGGCGGACCCCATACAAAACAAACATAGAGGTAGGGGGGGGGGGGTTTAAACGTTGATAAGTTCTGCTATTTTTTGTGGCTATTGGTCATATAGTAGATCATTTTGTCAAAAGGTAAGGGTGATCCGAGAAAAAGTTTGTAAATTGAAACAGCCTATTAGATTTCATTATGATACATTGTACAAAATTGAAATTGTATATATAAAATATGTAGAGTCCTATATTTTAATAATAAATGAATTACATTGTCAAGTAACAAGTGAAGAAGTTTTATATGCATTGATTTGCTTTCAATCAATACAAGTTTTTAATTGTATGCTGCAAAATAATAACATTGACCACGCCCACTTTCCAGGGGTAGGGTACTATAAAGTCATATTAAAAATCATAAATAGTACATTATCATAATTATAATTGTATTACAATATCAAACAAAGCTTGAATTAGTTTTTAGAAAACAATTTTGAGCTATTTAAGCTGCCATCTTTTGCTGGAAGCTACAAATATAAGATACGTGAGACTTAAAAATGACCAAAATTGCATATTTTTTTCCTATTAATTGCAATATTTCTGAGACTAATACAGATATCGGCCTATAACTTTAGGATATTATTCATCTTTGGACTAGTAATGTGTGCTGTAGAAAACAGAACAATAGCAACTATATCCTTTATGTTATGAAATAGTCTTATAGTACCCCCTGAAATCGCAGGAATTGAAGTCCAATTCGGCCGTGAAAATTGTTTTTACCACTTTAAATGCCATCACCTTATATTTTCTTACACCTACTAGGTTACTCTAACATACTGCATTGCCAAAAGTTACTTCTTGCAAACTTCCGGCAAAACTGTGCCAGCATCTGATACATATTGATAAGTGTACTGAGGCAAAATTTACATGCAATAAAACAGAATTAGAAAAGTGGGAATCTATACAATGCGCTAATCAGTGTTTTATCAAGCCTGTCAAAGGTTATCAAAGCTAAGACACAGCGACATGAAGTTAATATAGTGTTCATTCACTTGTTTTAGGCACTCCCACATAAACAAATTATTAGCGATTGCAGAAACCATTCAGTACATTCAATACTGATTTAAATAAGATGATATATTCAATAAGAGGGGATTCCCCTTCTGTAGATTCCTGGATGTGAAACTGTTGAAAATAATCCATGTTCATTAAGATGAATTACATTTCTTGATTTCTTCTGTACCTTCAGGGCCAGTTTGATGAGCAGTCAGAGGAACCCGAGCTGATGTTGTTCAACTTCCAGGCAGCTCAAGATGCTGTAAGTTTAATAAGCTGAAAATCCTTAATACAATGTATTTTAGAATATACAGTGTATTTTTGAACAAAATATACAATAAGGTTCTGGACTAAGGATGATTAAAAACTAATTGCCACAATTTACCATATTGCTTTTCATAGGCAACTCTTTTTCCAAGTCCATTGCCAAGTTTGAAAACGACAGTCTAGCAGCTGTATGTTTCAAACAACGATATGCAACACTTATTCATGCTTCGATCATCACTTGTAATTGCTTGTAAATTGTAGTGGAATTGAATCAATTCTAGAAATATTACAGAAAACTAAAATATCCCATTTCCATTTTCTATTTCATTTTCTAGCCTGAATCAAAAATATTTTGATGAACATTTAATTGAATGAAAATGAATTCAGTTAAAAAGTCAAAGAATTAGTTCTTCATAAACTTTTCTTAAATGTGTCTAAAATGTATATTCTAGTTTCAAGCTGATCTTAGTATTGATGCATATTTAGGTTTAATGTTAATAATGAATATTTCAGATGATGAAAAATTCAAATTCACCATCAACTCAGTTATCTGGCGTGTTCAACTCCAATGTGTATGGACCACCATCCAGTAAGTATACATTGTTACAAAGCTTAGGACCAGAGTGGGGTCTTTATATCAATTGATATTTTTTGTTATTTTATCATATTTTATTTTGGTATATGACAAAGTTTTTTTCAGTTATGTTTTCTAGTTAAAAGTTTACATAAAAATAATTTCTGTTTCTGATGAAAATTTATTATTGGGTTAATGTGCTCATCTTGGGATATGCAATATATATATATTAATTTCTTGAAAAAGACTGGGATACAAGTCAAAGCCTTGATCTAATAAAAAAGATTCTCCGAAGAAATCAATAAAGTTGTTTAAATATTAAAATTTCTAATTTATTGTTACTTGGAAAAAATGAGTGAATGCACATACTGTCCTTCCACTTCCCCTAAAACTTTTTTTTCTGTAATGGAAATATTTTCTGATTTTTAGATGCTATCGGGGGAACTCCTATGAGTACCTCAGCCCTCCAACAGAGGGGGCTGCCAACAAGTGGGTTCAATGCCCGGAATGCCACGCCCACAAGTATAGGTGGCACTAGTTTCCCTATGTCTCAACAGCAACAGCAGTCTCCAAATAGGTACCATTTCCGTCTAAATTTTTTCAACTCATCATTTCTGATTTTGTTAGATCTTTGTAGAATTATTATTTTCTGAATTAATTTAAATATCATATGTTTCAATTTTTGTGTTTGTTGATTTGTTTTGCTATTCTGAATCGATGTGCTTATAATGACATCCAAAAAGCTTCTCTTTATAGTAGTGCTGTAGTATGAAATATATCAAAATCCTCAATAGATATATTGGTCGTAATTCTATTTTTTTGTAAAATATACAGGGTGAGCCAAAAAAGGTAAACTACAACAACAAATCAATCGCTCTTAATTAAAGTGATGTTTTTGTTTTAATGCAAAAGTTTGAATGGACTAAAAGTTAGAACACTGTGCATGTTATAAGTAAGAATCAGTCTTAATTTTATTTTTTTAATTTTAGGAATGCTTTCTCTGCTATTGGAAGTCAAAGAACAAATGTTTTGAATCAGTTGGCAAGCAGCCAAGCCTCTAGCCTACAAAAAAGACTTGCCGCAACAAACACCTCAGCTGCAGCTTTTCTCACGTATGTGTCAATTGAATTCTTTCTGCCCCAAACTCTAAATAATGTGTCAATTGAATACTTTCTGCCCCAAACTCAGATAAATAATGTGACATGTGAAAACATTCTTCCCCAAACTCAGATAAATAATGATGATTGTGTCATTTGAAAACTTTCTGCCCCAAACTCAGATAATTAATGTGACATTTTATGCTGGATTTTGAAAATGAACGCTCATATATTCAGTATTGTTGTTAAATTAAAGTTATACAAATCAAAATATGTCCAGAACGATTTATAGTACTCTCAACATGTAAAGTTCTGTGAGTTACAATATTAGTCTCTGAAAGTTCAATATTTGCATTCTGTTTATTCCAGTGGTGGTGTGACTTCCACAGCCCCAAGTAATGTCTTCTCCGGCTTCGGTCGTCCAGGTAAATATTAACCCTTGCACTGAAAGTTTTTGGCTTCTAAGAAAAATTGTTAACTGCAATATAGCAGATATGAATCAATGAATACTAAAAATTAAAAAAACATGCTCAATTGTTTGAGAATCATTAAGAATCTTGAATTGAATATTGAGACTTTTCTGCATTCAGAAAAAGGATGGAACAAAAACGAGTAAAAGTGAGCTTTAACTACACTCAGAATTAGAGACAATCCTTTGATTAGCCTGATCCAATCAGGAATGGGTCGATCAGAATTGCAGTCCCATATTTTTCAGCCTTATTCTGCCTTTATATGTAGATGGGATTTATTTTACTAACTCATCAAAGACTGTGGTTATTTAGATCACATCAACATAGAAACTGTTTGTTTATTTGTCCTACTCAGTTGTTGCAATAATCAATTAAGGCTCTACCCCTCAGAGTTTAGAGCATGATTCATGATATTTGTTTTATTTTTCAGGGGACCCCCAGCAAGCCAGTTTAGACCTCTCAGAATTCCCGACTCTGGGTAATAGGTCCATGCCAGCTAATGCTGCACTCGGCAACAGCCTAGCCAGGAACTATGGTATGATATTGATGAATTAATTAATTAATGAATTAAATGTGAATTGATTCATAAGTAATTAATTAAATGTGTACAGTTCCATATCTTGATGGAATTATTTGTTTGATGAAATGAATTGATTGTGAAATTTTTAATTCACTCATTCATTGTTTTTTAGTAGTTTTTTTCGTTTATATAAATGAGTTTTGGGTGTCGTTTCAATGTTATTGCTTTATTTTATGAGTTTTTTTCTGATTTTTCTAATTTTGATTTCAGTCGATATGGTTGGCAAGCCACAGCTGGGAGAAGATAAATGTTTGTATCTGCATATATTTTCTCTCATTAACCCTCAATTGACATTTCATTCAAATTTCAAATAGTAAATAAGGATTAATTTATGCATTCTTAGAATGATTGCAATGTAAAGAGGTACCAAATTGGCCTATTTTGAAACCTATGTCACTTATTCTGACCACCAAATTTTGGATAGGTGGTCCATTTGACAAACTGTTTTTAAGATAAACTTCCTTGTTTCTAAAAAGATGAAACCCTTTGACCAAATGATATTTCAAGCTTATTAAGAACCTTGAATAGGGATATACTAGAATAACCAGAAACTAAAATGACAATGACTAAATTCCAAAGGATGTGGGCCAATAAGTCATAATATCATATCGTATAAGTCAGTTTAAGGGAAAGTAGTCTTATGAAAAATCAGTCCACTTCTATTCCCTCTTCAATCAATGAAATTGAATTTCAGTTAGAATCAAACGTTTTTTTTAAAATTATTTTTGATAAAATAAGCAGTCGATGGATCTGTGTATAACTCTGAAATAGAAAAAAACAAATTAGAATTAGAATACAAGAATTTGGTCTACTGAATTGCCTATTTTAGCAAAAATCATTTTGAAATAACCTTATGATTCCTACTTGAGTATAATATTTATTCCTATTTTAATTTCATTGGTTTTGTTCAACTAAAGCAACTAACCCCCCCCCCAAAAAAAAGATTACTTTCACTTAAAATGACAAATTGATATTTTTGATATTAATTGATATTACGATGAATGTCATCTGAGGGTTAAGAGTAGTTTCTAACAAAAGCTTTGTCATTTTGCTAAAGTTTCAGGAATTTGCTTATTCTGTTTCAAAGGGGTGGTGATTCTTCATAGCAAGTGGCTATTTATTTTCAAAATTCTGATTTCTGGCCTTAGGTTTACATACAGTAAAACATGGTTAATCTGAACGCCTCTGAGACTGCCCAAGTGTGCTCCTATTGGCACATGGCCACACGAGTGTTCCAATCGGAAGGTGTCCACATTTCTAGATATTTTAACATGGAAATCTATGGCAGATAAAAAATGAAAAGGCATTCGAATCGAAAGGTGTTCAGATTAGAGAGGTGTTCGGATAAACAGGTTTTACTGTACATAGTACATATATCACTTAATATTGTATCCGATTCACAGTAAATACATATGAATGTGATCATTTTCATGTAATCTTCAAATTTTTTATTTTATTTCAGTTGGCATGGTGAGCAAGCCTCAGCAAGAGAGAGATGAATTTACAATACAGCAGGAAGACTTCCCAGCGCTACCTGGCTCTCAGAGTGAGTTCCATATCTTTAGTAGCTGTCATATTAGCCATGTGGGCTCACTGTTCTCCACCATGTTGCTAATTTTGTATTTGATGTGATCGGAGGTATCTTGCTGTAAAACTATTTGTTTTGCCAACCATGTGTCCATGTCGTGCCCCGCCATCAGCGCTGATCACACAGTGGCGAACATTGAGCTCACACATCCTAAGTGTGACAATTTCATTAAATACTTGAGGCAATATCTTATGTTCCACACCAGATTCTACACTTTATCATTTTCTGTTACTATTCAATAAAATGTGAGAAATGAACTTTTTTCATACTCTATGCTAAAAAGCCATCACTTTCCATCACATAGACATCTTAAAATATCTCAAATCTTCATGAATTTTATATTGTGACTCTTTCTTAAAAATGTCTTTTTGGTATCGTGTATTCAGTATTATGATTAAATAAGTGATTTCTTAAATTGTTCCTTTGTAAAAGTTTGTATAATTTTGATAAATATCAGAAAATGAAAAATGAAAAAAATGACCCAATGATTCTAATGTATTGATTCCTTGAAGTGGAAGTTAATTTTGTGTTTCCTTTTCAGATCCACCCAAGCCCTCTTCTGGTGATGGTATTAACTCTATAAGTCCAGTAAGTATAATTTTAAGGATATAAACTACAGCAACAGTTCAGCTTGAATTCTAAGTGAAATATAGTAAAACCAGCAATTTAAGTTCATAACATTTAGAATAATGGGCAACAATTTGTGAGATTAAAGATTGACAGTTTCCATCTCATCTGTCAGAAATATATAAGCTCAAAGTTTTGACTCAAATGATTTCTGTTCATTTCAGAATCCGTCATCCTATGAGCAAGTCCTGTCGAAAGATGGAAAGTTTCCAGACAAGGCATCCAAGAGAGGAATACAGACACATGCAGATGGTAAGAGTGCAGTACTCATTAAGGGATGGTGGTCAATTATCAATGGTTGTGGAATTGCGAAGTTAGTTTCATTAGGGGAGGGTGTTAATGATGGTTTCATTAGAGTGTTGATTTTTTAAATATTCAAGTGAAAGACAGATCAACATATTAAAACTTCATTAGATGAGGGGGTCAAATTAACAAAATTAACTTTGTCTTTCACAACTATTGATCTGTAGCATTTGATCTTTGGGGGAAGCTACTGAGTTGATTTCTTAATATATCAGTCTACAGGAAAGTTGGTGTTTCCTTGGAGCCCACTTGCCTAAAAGTTCGATTATTCGTTCTTGAAACGTAAACTGCATCATTTAACCTAATAACTTACTGGTATACAATACAAGTTATAATTTGGCAGTTCAAAACAGAATCAAATGAAGTTCATAAATTCAAACGGCATAAAACATTAATATTCATGTTTTTCAGGGACAGTGTCAAACATTCCAATGGGGATGGTAAATGACCAGTTTGGTATGGTTGGTCTGTTAACATTCATCAGAGCTGCTGAGACAGACCCTAATCTTGTAGCCCTGGCACCTGGCATTGACCTTACTACTCTAGGGCTAAATCTCAACTCACCTGAGTAAGTAAAATGTACCACAAGTTCACTTAACAAGAAATAATTCAAATTGAGATACAACTCCATTGTTTTTGTAAGTGATAAACTCCTGAATTCCAATGTACAAAAATTTATCACATGGTTAGAAGTTTCGAAGTATTTTGATTGGTCAATTGTGATGATGCATTTTCCGTACCACATGGCACGTGACTCATTTTCATGTGATTCGTAGGACTGTATCACTACGGAATCAAAAGCAAGAAGATGGCTGATTATCCCATCGAACGAAGTTCAAGGGGGATATAGAGAAGCCGTCCGTCCATCCATCCGTCTGTCCGTCCGTCCGTTCGTTCGTCCCTGTGTCCGGGCGATAACTCAAATACCGGTTGATGGATTTGGTTCAAATTTTATAGGTTTATGCCTAGGGACAAATGAGTTTCGCACAAAAAGAGATTTTCAAGATGGCAGCTTAATTTCAAAATGGCGGCCATTTTTCGTAAAAATATGTAATCTTTGATAACTCAAATACTAGTGAACGGATTTGGTTCAAATTTTATATGATGATGCTTAGGGACACAGTAGCTATGTTCGACAAAACATTTTCAAGATGGCCGCTTAATTTCAAAATGGCGGCAATTTTTCGTAAAAAACGTAATCTTTGATAACCCAAATACCAGTGAACAGATTTAGTTGAAATTTTATATGATTATGCCTAGGGACACAGTAGCTCTGTTCAAGAAATAATTTTCAAGATGGCGGCTGAATTTCAAGATGGCGGCCCATATTCGTAAAAAACGTAATCTTTGATAACTCATATACCAGTGAACGGATTTGGTTCAAATTTTATAATGATGATGCTTAGTTCACAATGGTATAAACTAACTTTGTGGCAAATTTCATGCTTCTATCACAAAGTGCACAAACATTTCAACATTAACACTTAGCTAAAATAAGCATAATATGTTTTGTTCGGTGGGATTTGCTACTCCGTGGAGTTGCTGTTTTTCTAGTTATATCACTTCTTAACTGAAGACATCTGTATGACGTCATATCATTTCACACATGGGCACAACATTGATGCCTCTTATGTATATATTAAACTTGCATATAACATTTACCACCCTAACATTGCTTATATCAAAGCCATTCTTTGGGTTTACGCTTTGTGTTAATAGGAATCTGTACAGCACGTTCCAGTCTCCCTGGGCAGACAGCCCATGTAGGCCACAGGACATTGACTTCCACGTACACTCAGAATATCTCACAAATATATTCATCAGAGAAAAGGTGAGCCGCTCATGTTGATAGATTTGAAGTTGGCTTTATTGATGAATGTCCAGTTATATTGAGTTACACATATGAAGTTGAAATGAAGCAGTGAAGAATACTAAAGAGATCTGTTTCAACTTTTCAAAAAGTCACAGTTTTTATATAGTTATGACATATATAGACATATTGCTGTTTGAGACTTTATTAAGTAGTTTAAATGTTTTGGAATAATCCATTCATCTTGCTCTCTGAGAGTCTGTTCAGGTAAATTACAACATTGTTTCGATCTCCTACTTTTACCCCGTTTTGTAGAAATTGCCTTTTTCTTTTCCACCATTGGAACCAACCAAATGTTGTCATTTTTATGGCACTACCAGAAGTGGTGACATCTTGTCGTAGTCTCCAACTGTTGTTTGTGTTCGGTGGTTGATGTTTTGCAGTTGATGTTAAGATTTGGCTATTGGTGTCTGTAACAAATGGAAGGTTGTGACATTTTGCCTGTTAATTCCTTGTTATCTATTTGTTTAATTTTCTGTTTCAGTTAGCCCCTATAAAGTTGAATAGGTATGGAGAAGACCTGTTGTTCTTCCTGTTCTATATGAACAATGGTGATGTATTACAGCTGGCAGCTGCTGTAGAATTGTAAGTGGAATTATCTAGCTGCGTTTTACAAAGTGGACCAAAAAATTGGAACTTTTTTATTTCATTGTTCCTTTTTGTCAGTAATGTATGCCACATAAATCTTGTCATCAAAATTCAAGGGAAATCACTCATCCATTCAAGTTGACATATTTACAGACGCAACAGCAGACTATGTAGTGCCAAGATCTAATTAGGTTTTTGGAATGTTTGATTAATGTCATGGCAATCATTTTTCATTTTGCAATGTTTATCACTTAGTGTCTTGTTTATCCAAAATTGAAATAATTCATAATTTTGACTTCATTTTTAAACTCAAGTACGTGTTATGGAATATCAATTTGTCCTTTCAGGTATAACAGAGACTGGCGCTACCACAAAGAAGACAGAGTATGGATCACAAGGGCACCAGGCATGGACCCAAGCATTAAAACAAACTCTTACGAAAAGGGCACATATTATTTCTGGGACGCTCCAAGTTGGCGTAAAGTAGCTAAGGAGTTCTTATTGGAATATGATAAACTTGAAGATAGACCTCATCTCCCACATACTCTCCATCACAATCCAAATCAGCCCTCAGCGATGGTACATTAATCAGCCCTCTGAGCCCTTGTACATTGATAAGCCCTCTGAGCCCAAGTACATTGATAAGCCCTCACTCGTGATGCATTGATATTGAGATACACGGAGCATCATAAGAATTTTTGACTCCGTGGTAAATAATTGATCAGTTGGCGTGTTAATATCATATCCATGCTGGAAATATCAACTGGCTCGGATCTGAACTGTCCGACTCTGAGCCTTGTATCACACGGACTTTCTGAAGAGTTCACACAATTCATTTAATTCCTGACCTAACACATGAAAAGCTGAGATATTACAAAGTACAGTGTAAAAGTCTGTGTCAACTTGAAGAATATTCAGATACGAGGTGCTTAGAATATTTTCAACATCAAAATTCAACAATCAATAAGACTTCAACTTAACAGTACTGTACATGCATTCTTCAATAAGGATAGTCTTGCCAAAGTCAGTCTCGTTTACTTATCTTAAATGATACAGACTTGGGCAAGGCTACAATAAGGATGATCAATGGTCATTATTTCACAATGACTTCTAGGTGACATTATGTTCTTTGTTTGGATGAATATTTGTTAATTTATCTTTTCTTTATACTCTTCTTTTACTGTTGAACAATGTTGAATATGATACATTTTTGTGAATGGTCGTTCCTCAATGTGGTGAGAACCCTATGTAATGTAGTACCTGTCCTATACAAAAGTTGGTTTGGCAATTTTTGATTTTCTCTATGATAAAGAACAAGTTTAATCTCCAAGTTGTAACCTATAATAAAATCATGTTCAAGGAGATTATGATTATATTTCATGATGCTTGGAATACACATCATACTTGCTTGATAATCTTTTAGAATTAATGGCATTATATTTTGGAAGGCCTACTGTATTTGAAGTCAGAACCAATATTTTAATGCAAAATAGAATTCGAAAGTTGATATCATATTGGTTGAAATTGAACAATCATTGATGTTTGTAATGTGAGAATAAATTTTAAGAATGAAGAAATGATAAAGTGTCTACATTGAGTATATTCAAAAAGTTGTAATTGTATTTGTATACAGTAAAACCTGTCCGATGGAATACCTCTCTGTAGGGAAAACCTATGAACAAGGAATGCTTTTCAAAAGAACCAAATATTTTTCCATTGACTTACATGTTAACGGACCCTCTCTGTAGGGAAAACCTGTGAACAGGGAACAAGGAACACTATTTTGGGGCAAATTATAAAAATTCACCTGTGAACAAGGAATATGGAATATTGGTGACACTGTATATTCCATTATTTTTCAGAGGTGTGAAAGTCTTAAGCCAATATCTGAATATAAAAAGCTTGGATTAATATGATTGAGATTAAGATAAGCCAATTGCTTACCTGATGTAGCATCCCACCCACTGTTAATTACCCTGATTTATTTTAAAACTAATACTAATCTGTTTGTTACTTATTATCATGAGCTAATTCTTCCTTTCAAAAACCTAATTACATCAAATCAGTTGTGATAATCTAGGGACTGACACAATTGTTTTATGGAGATAACAGAAAGTAAGTACATGGTCATGTTGAGCCAAATATCTTTAGATCTTTTACTGATCCAACTTCTAGATTATCAATGATATAAAATGGGGTTGATGAAACTTGAAATTCAGTTCTTAGGACTATAGCTCTACACATCATATCAATAATAACATCAACTGGACATCATCAGACACTAACAGCAGCTAAAATCAACATGGGGAAAACATTTGTACAATCAATCAATATATATACAAATATGCTTATTCGGCAAGTTTGAGTTTGCTGAAAGTGTGGCCCCTCTCTGTAGGGAAAACCTCTGAACAAGGAAAGTTTCCTCCAGTCCCAAGAGCATTCCCTGTTCGCAGGTTTTACTGTATTTTTAAAAGGATATCTCTTCAACCCAAATTAATGAAACAGGTCTCATGAAAAATACTATAAATGAATAAATTGAAGAGTTTTATACTATTCTGTTTACTCAGACATACAGATTTTAAGAAAATAGTCATATTGACTTTAATTTAGAGAGATGTTTTCATCATAAAAAATTGAGATCTTATTCTGATATTGTAGAAATATTCCCATCTACATCCGATACTTATTGGAAGCTGAAAATATGAATATTTCTTTTATGTTGTAAAGTACAATCTTAGTTTGTAAAAAGTTTACTTTGTGAATAAAAGTGAAAAAATACTAAATACTTTTTGGCATTGTATTTTTAGACTGCACTGCAAATGTAACTTTTCCGATTCCATTTTTTGTCTGATAATAATTTCAGAATGCAACTGAATTATATTTTATAACCTACCACATGCATCTATTGCAGATTTTTCCCATTTTCATTTGAGTATATACTGTAAGTGTAAAGTTGTTGCTTTGATCTTTATGAAGCGTAGGGACAACTGTTTTACATTTATTTACATTTAGGCCATTACTGTAAACCTTTCTTGTTTGGAAACCCATCAAGACTTATTCATTCCATGTGTGGTATTGCATCTAGTGATTCCTGTATCGACGTCAAAAATATTTTCAAAATACATGCAATATTAGAAAAGTTATTGCCAAAGAAAAATATGGACGTTTTGGGCCCACTCTGTATATACTCTACCCTTTGCATTCGTTTGACTTCACTTCTTAAAAGAGAGCTTCGTCTTCTAGTTTAACTAGACTCTGCACGCAGGGTATATATAGTCATCAAATCAAGTCTCAGATGCTACCGAAATTGTTGCTGGTCTGGTCCTTTAGATGTACATTTTACAACCTGTTATAATAACAATGTCAAGATTTGTTCATCTTGAACAATGCAATCTACACTCTACATGTAAATGATTGCAAATGTAAGTACGTACATTTATTGTAGTTCAAGTAGTAAAATCCCAAGCTAAGTACTTCATCAATAACAAATTATCAAGCTTAGACTTTATTGTACATATAGTTCATATAGTTAGTTCATATTGACATCAGAGTCCAAACATCCAAATACTACAATGTAGTTTATATTAAAATCATAATACATGTGTAGGTCTACTAGTCAATGGCTTAATCTTATCAACAACAGACAAGGACTTTAATAAACGTTTATAAGGACACGACATACATTTGACTATAGAATAAACAGCATGGAGAACCAAAAAGAAACCAAAAATAGTGCAAAATGCATGGAAAAATATATCGGCATTAAATTATTTGTCGCTGCTTTATCTATTTATGCTCTCGGCACAGGAACATTCAGTTCCTATTATTCTTCAATATTAACAACATTGGAGAAAAGATTTGGATTTTCCAGTTCGACGACTGGGTTTCTGATGACTGTCGATAACTATATTTACTTTCCTGGAATCATTTTCAGTCATTTTGCAAGACGGAGTCACACTCCTCGTATATTTTTCGGGTCTTCAATAGCAGTAGCCATTTCTATGTTACTGTGGGCGACTCCCTTTTTCATATATGGAAGCAAAGGAGGGTTTAACCCAGAATTCTCCGCGAAAAATACCACACAGGATAACTCAAGTGAATCAACTCTATTCTGCAGGATGGGACCAGCTGGAAATACAACACATATGAACTGTGATAGTGAGGATATGAAAAATGAACATGAAAACAAAATAGCTTATAGTCTGTTTGTTGTGGCTCAATTATTTTACGGAGTGGGTACATGTTCTTTCTGGACCCTGGGGACAACTTACATAGACGATAATGCTAGCAGAAAGGATCTTTCCTTTTTCCTAGGTAGACAATATGCCTCGTCACTTCAACATATTTTAAACGTTAAGCGCCTTTTATGAGTACTTCAAATGAACCTCTGAATCTTCCGAAGAAACATCATAACATAGAGGGAGGGGTTTTCTAGTGACCCGTGCCCCTCATCCCGGTGTAAAAGGGTAGGAGGTCCTATCAAATTATGGTCCTACTCTCCATTGATTTATATGGTGACCTAAATACAACTCTTTCCCTCATTATCGTATGTACAATCAGGGCCAGTAAGGGCCGTTAAGAAAGGGGACCATAATCCCCAGGGGACCATCATTTCTTTTACACCGGATAAAAGTGATGTGATGAAGTTTTCACCAATTTGAGCACTTTTCAAATAATTTTGTGACAAAAGTGCATAAGCTGGCTACATTCCTGAAATAAAGTATCAATTGACCAATTTCGGCCTATTAAAACCATTTTCACATTTGATCTGGCAAATTATACATACATGTACATTCTTACCGTTCAACCATAAGTGCTTGAGACGTATTTTTATAACCCAACACTGTTCTGCTTGTTTGCAGGTGTTCTGTTTACCCTAAAGGTGATAGGTCCAGTTGTAGGTTATTACATGGGGGCAGCAGTGCTCCTCCTTCCCGAGGACCTCACATGTATGTACTCCATTAGCTCAATTTCGAATACATTGCACCCGCAATCTAACATGCTATTCCGAAGCGTTCATTCGTAAATTAATAGGGCGTCTTAAGCTTTCAATGTTTTTCACAATCTAAACGTGAACAGAAAATATCTTGCGATTGGTCATACGTATAGGTTGGCGTTTCGATTTTATATGCAAGCTTAAACTTCATGTTTACTGGCTCGTGTTTAGACATCGTATTACCCAGATGTAAATGAAAGGGAAATGTTACCACCATCATTTTAACCATTTCCTGTTTCAACCTGTTTACCAGCAATTATTTGTTTCAAGATAAGGAGTAAAATATAATTAAGTAAAAAGGTTTCATAGTTGTACAAGGTGGGCAAAAAGGTCTCAAAATTGAATACTGGATGTACATGTATGCAACTGTATATTTCTAAACTTACTGCACTTGTTACATTAGCTAATGGAATAGGCCCGGAGGAGGCTGGGTATATAGGGGCCTGGTGGCTAGGGTTCCCTATCATGGCATTAGTGATGATATTGGGGGCAATTCCTATGCTCATGATACCAAGGAAAATGGAAGTAGAGAAAAGTTATAAAGACGTTGATGACGATAATGATGATGCGGATGATGAAAATGGTCTCTCTTTAAGAAATGCTGTAACTGATATAAAAGGTACAGTAAGTAAAACAAAATTGACAAGGCATTGACATGCAAAATATCACCACCTCCCATTTGCAACAGACGCCGAATGCCAGATGCCGACCGCCATACGCCCAACGACAAACGCTGTTCGCGGAACACCGTCCGTAAAAAGTTGGAAATTTGATACCAGTAAATTATGGGGTTGAATGTTCTCATCAATCTTTCATTACCGAAGGGCGGCTTTATATATATTTTGTTTGTGCTCTGAAACAATTTTGGTCCTGGCACCCTGTGCCTACATATTTACTTAACACATTTGATATAAGTACAAGTCTGATTTAGCATTTTTAAATTTCAGCGGGTGGAGATTGAATGAACCAGTGAATCTCATTACCAAAAGTCGGCTTTAAATATTTTGTCTTTCAGATCTTCCAAAGTCACTCCTGCGGATTCTACTGAACCCGGTCTTCATGGGACTAACCTGTTCCATATGCTTTTTTGTGTTTTGGATCTCTGGTTACTCTGCCTTTCAACCCAAGTACATTCAAGAACACTTCAATGTGTCAGCCACAACAGCTAATGTGTTAACAGGTAAAGTATTGTTGTAACTTTTTTTTATTCAATGATGTAATCAGCATTCGAGCACATGCGATGTCCGAAGAAACTGCTCAGATCTGTAAGCTCATAAGTGGAAAGAGTTTCTAAACGACCACTGTCCATTGACTTAAATGTTAATGAACCTCTGAACCTCACAAGTGGAACACATTTTGTGGTCGGAAGGGTATTCCACTCACACAGGTCCTATGCTATGCGTTCATAATTGATTCTGTCTGCAGGTTCAATGGGTGCCCTGGCAGGTGCTGTTGGATCATTCATCAGTGGGGTGGGCGCATCACGCTTCAAGGCCACGAAGACTCGCGTCATGCGCATCATTGTGTATAATATGGTTATAGTGCTTATTGCCTCTGCCTCATCGTTGGCATTTATATGTCCACAGACAGAAATCGTGGGATTGAATGAGAGGTGAGATTAACATCTGAAAAAATATATGCATTTATAATGAACATAGTCTCGCCATTTTATTTGGGAAACTGAACCAACACACGCAGACCATCAGATTCCCGTAGGTCAAATGCATGTGACTTGCATCAGGTAAGTTATCTCCACACATGTACTCCTGATCTATCTGTTTTATCTCACATATTATAATCATATTGACTGTGTTTCAAATAGTAACATCATCATTATTTCCTTAAAAACTATGTTATTGAACAGTAAAGTAAATACTAACTTGTTACATTAACTTCCCAGAGGTAATGGAACTTGTAGTGAGGACTGTAACTGTGATGACAGTGCGTACAGTCCTGTATGTGGAGATGATAATCTTAACTACATGTCTGCCTGTCACGCTGGTTGTACAGCACTTAATAATGGCGTAAGTTTTAAAAGAATACAAAATTAGTAACATTTAGAAAGTAGAAGTATTAAAGCATGGTCCACCTGCCATTTGTTACAGATGCCAACCGCCGAACACCATGTACCAACCCGCCAAACGCTGAACATCAACCGCCAAACGCCGGACACCGTCCACAAAAAAAGTTAGAGACTATAACAATATGCCATCACTTGTCACGTGTTGGCATAATGACAAAATGTCACCACCAACTATAAAGTAGCCTGAAATAGTACTTGTTTTCATTTTTTTACTTTCTAGACCTATGACAACTGCCAATGCACAGGAGGAGGGACTGTAACATTTGGATTATGTTCTGCATTCTGTAACATGGCTATACCTTATGCTATCATGGCTTTTATTGCTTCTTTCTTCCATACTTTACAAGAAGTGCCCTTGTACCGAATACAGCTCAGGTGAGGTACTGGCCATTATAAGGTGCAAGGTGCTACTTTTGAGAACATCTCAGGCAGTCTAAAACAACAGGGGATAAGGCAATCATCGTTTTAAAATAATCTGGACGCCTAAAGATTCAATTTTGCAAACTTTATTTCTTTTTTTTCATTAATAACTAAAGTACGTTGTTGCGTGAGCTTAGACTTACGAGAGACACCTTTTGTTTTAAGAAAAAGGTACAATTAAAGTTACACAATCTTCATTATAATGCTACAAGTAGAGTGTAGGTTTTAGTCTGGGTTCATTGTAGATGTGTTGCAAAGGATGACAGGGCCTTGTCTATAGGAATCATGAATTTTATCATCTTTCTTACGGGTAAGTATCCGCACGTTGTTTATATCTTGGAAGCCATTTGGACATCAAGAATTATGATGAACAACAATATGATTTTGGAAATATATTTTATTCCGAAATACAATACCCTTTGCATTCGTTTGACTTCGCTTCTTAAAAGAGAGCTTCCTCTAGTTTATAACTAGACTCTGCGCGCAGGGTAATTCCGAAAGTGGAATGCAATTCAAAAGAGAAACAAATATAAATAGCTTTTCAAAATATTCTTAAAATGGTCTACAAATTACAATGTAGACTATGAATTATACCAGAGTTTTTCACCTTTACGCCCACTTGGTTTCTTTTACATTTGTACCTAATAGATTATAGAATATGATTCAGCTGGACTTCGAAATATGATTTGATAAGTGACACCTTAAACATTACACATATTTTATTTATTTAAGCTCTACCCTCACCAGTGGTATTTGGCGTAGTGGTTGACAGTGCATGTCTACTACAGATGTCATCATGCTCTTCAACGGACAGTGCATGCTGGGTCTATGCCACTGACCCAATGCGATTTAAGCTGCACATTTTAATGGTTGCCTTTCTGATCCTCGAGATAATATCGTTTATATTTATGTGGTATAAATGTAAGAGTGCTGATTTCCTATACGATGACCCTGAGCCAGAGAGTGAAACAAAAACAAAAGGTGATCTAGAAACTGCTCAACCACTTATGACTATCAAAGATCAGAAAGGAGATCTAGAAACAGTCTTACCTAAAAAGAACCAAAGCACTTTGTGAAACACATGTAGGCCTACATGTACTTGAAATTTACATAACAGGGTTTGCCCTGAAATTAGGAAACCCACGAAACGTTATGACTACACCACCTGGAGGCCGTTTCTCGAAACTTATCGTTGTTAACGAATCGTTAATAGTGAATCGTGGATTCCTTTCTATGAACACCGCATCATTAATGGAATAACGAGATCCCCATTCGTACTCGTAAAATCAATCATGGATATCGAATAAATCGATAAAAATCATGACGTCATCGCGAATCGTTAACTTTCGAGACAGGGAAAAATCGTTATTTACAATTGAATTAACGATTCGTTAATAACGAAACTTTCGAGAAACGGTCTACAGATTCTTTAATTGTATGAAGCTGCAGATTATGATAACGTTATCCAAACGATGACATTCAAACATAAGGTATGAATCCAAATATGAGATCATATTGGTTTTGGTATTGATATTCGGACACATTCGATGCAAAGAACTAAACATCCTTTACTATAATCATACAAATATCCATATTACGATTCAAATTCACCTTCAAATAGGGACTGTAATCCACATGTGAGATCGTAATGTTACTGGTAATTAATGAGATTCTAACACATTGATGCAGAGATATAAACACCATTCGCTATGTTTATATGAATAACCATATTGGGGTATTGAGATTTCCCAATATGAGATCGTATTGGTATTGGTATTGAGATTCGAACACATTGATGCAGAGAAATCAACATCCTTTGCTATAATTAACAAACATATTTGGGATTCGAATTATACTCCTAAAAAACATGTCTGTTTGAACTGAAACGAATGAAAAACTGATAATGTAAATGGATATGTACCTTGACTCTATTCTCAATATCTCCGTTACAATATGTCAAAAATTGATGTCAAATTTTAGGAAAATTAAAAAATTGCATAACCCATGTAACAAATCAGGAATTATAATGACTGACATTTCAGATCATTTCCCTATTTTTGCAGTAGCAGATTTGCCCGTTAATTTACAAATCACTGAAAAAGTTCATTTTCGTCTAATGAAAAAACAAAATCATGAGGACTTTTTAAGTCAAAGGTAACAAAAATTGATTTTGATGATGTATTAAATTGTACTGATGTGAACATTGGGTATAACCTATTTATTCAAAAGATTTTAGTAGTTTATAATGAATGTTTCCCTTACATGAATAGAAATATGACATATAGATTTAATAATAAAAAACCATGGCTAACTGAAGGTATAATTACATCAATTAAACAAAAAAATAAACTTTATATTAAATCTATTAAGCAACCAACTTTAGCAAACATCAATGAATATAAAACCTTTAAACGCATTTTAAGGCAAGTGATACGAAACTCAGAACGCTTCTATTATAAAAATAAGTTCACCAGTTGTTCTGGTAATCTTAAGGAAACATGGAAAAATATTAATGAAATTCTTAATAGAGATAAACAATCAAATATGATAAACAAGCAATTTATTCATAATAACAAACAAATTAAAGATCATAAACAAATTGCTAATCTCTTTAATGATTACTTTACTGACATAGGCCCCAATCTTGCAAATAAAATAGCAAATGCTAATCATTCTCCAAGACACTACTTAAGCAAATTGACAGGTTCTTTTAATCAAAGTATTTTTTTAAGACGTGTAACAGTCAAAGAAGTTTAAAAAATCATTGACAATTTAAAAGATTCAGCAGCAGGATATGATGAGATTAAGCCAATAACGGTTAAGAATTCAAATGACATGTCCATTCCTTCTTTACTTCATTTGACCAATCTTTCTCTTTCAACTGGTGTCTTTCCAGATCAATTGAAAATAGCCAAAATAATTCCAATTTACAAAAAGAATGACCAAAGGTACTTCAATAATTACAGGCCAATATCACTTTTATCAGTTTTTTCTAAAATATTTGAGAAAATTATGTATAATAGAGTTGTTGAGTTTATTGAAAAATTTAAAATTATCTGTGTCAATCAGTTCGGATTTAGAAGGAACCGATCTACTTGCCTAGCTACTTTAACTTTCTTAGAAAATCTAAGGAAAGCTATGGAGAATAAACATTACAGCTTAGGGATCTTTCTGGATTTAAGCAAAGCTTTTGATACGGTTGATCATGATATACTACTTACTAAACTGAATTTTTATGGCTTCCATGGAAAATCCTTGGACTGGTTCAAAAGTTATCTCAGTAACAGGAAGCAAACTACTTTTTTGACCATGAGTACTCTAGTATGAAAACAATACAATGTGGTGTCCCTCAGGGATCTATTTTAGGTCCTGTACTCTTCATCCTTTACATTAATGACCTAATCTCGACTAGCAATTTATTCAAATATGTAATTTTTGCCGATGATACAAATATCCTATGCTCTGACAAAAATATTCATACTTTAATTGACAAAGTTAATAATGAATTAAAAACTGTTGATGATTGGTTCTGTGCAAACAAGCTCTCATTGAACATTGATAAAACAAACTTTATGGTTTTTACAACTTCCCAAAACAGGGTACCAGATAATATTTTAATCAAAATAAGAGACTCTAACATTACTCGTGTTTTTTCAACAAACTTCCTTGGTGTTATAATTGACCAAAATTTAAATTGGAAGGAACATATTCGTAAAATTGGATTAAAAGTTTCAAAAACCATAGGTATTCTTTTTCGAATAAAACATAAACTTAACCTGAAATCATTAATGAATATCTACTACTCACTTATTTACTCACACTTACAATATTGCATCCCAGTCTGGGGTGGGACAGGAAAGACATACATTGATATTTTATTAAAGTTACAGAAAAGGTTTGTCCGTTTAGCTACTAATAGTGAATATAATAAAGCACCATCATCACCTCTATTTCAAACATTAAACATATTGAAGATAAATGATATTTATAAACTCAATGTTCTCACCTTTACTTATAAATGCATCACGCGACCAGACAATTTTCCTAATGATTTATTTTGTAATTATTTTCAAGTAAATCAACACATACATGACCACAATACAAGACAGACGGACAACCTACATATTTTCAAATTTAGAACCAACTATGGCAAAAGAAGCATTAAGACTCAAGGGGGAATAATCTGGAATTCAATTCCAGATTACATCAAAAATTCCAAAAGCTTTTTGACTTTAAAGCAAACTTTCAAAAGACATGTAATTGGTCTCTATGATTAGTACTCTGTACTACCTTTAAACAGGTGCACCTTTATTTATTTATTCGTTTATCTATCTCACACCATTCAAATGTTATTTTATCCTTAATAATTAGTCTGTTTACTAGTTTGGTTTTCATACCATATCTTATATTTTGACTTCATATATTGTAATATCAATAATAAATGTACCTTTAAATGAAAAATTTCTCATGATTTATAATGTAATAATATGCTACAAATATTTTAGCTTGTGATAAACAATACACTCTCTGGAGTGTCTTTTATCAGTTTTTTATGTAAATGTGTTTATTTGATTTAAAAAAAAAAAAAAAAAATCCAATTGGAAATGGTTGGGTCGCCAAGAGTCATATGAGAAAATATCCATCGAATCAATTGCTCTCAAAAATGGAATGTAAATAGACAATTGAATTTGCTAACTTGTCTACAACAAAAAATCCCCTTGCAAATCTAATAAAACATGTTTTAAGAATTTTTAATTTTTGACCCCCTCCCCCATTAGACTACAGGTTAGTAGACTGACAATATCTCAGTGACGAAAAGTGCTAGAACAGTCTAGTTTGCATCAATTGAAAGTGTTTTGATGTATATCCAGATGCTTATAACAGGAAAACATTTTCCAATCATTTCCGGCAAATGATAAGCATAAGCAATTTTTTTAAATTTAAAGAAGTACGAAATAATGTTTTCCATTGTAAAGTGGGCGTCGCCCACAATGTAATCCAATGGGACTGAAAGAATGGCCGACGGACCAGTTTTAACGTTATCCGATTTTGTTGAAAAAATCAGTGAACTACCGGCACCATTTGTAACCCCATGTTAAAGGGCCGTTATGATCTGAGAACATTCTTGAAAAATGAAACATCTTAGTGAAGACGAATGATAGATGGCATATGAATATAAATCTCTTTAAAAACAAAATTTTACGTATCACAATCATGATATTCTCATGTTAAGTCAATGGAGCACATCTCATTTCAAGTCAATGCACCATTGCTGATTCTAATGACCTCAACCTCAGCCCGTGTGAATCCAAACGCTTTAGTATTTTCCAAAGTGTTATGTGACATTGTGTTCCTAATGTTACACCTATAAGAATGATTCATTAGGATCATATTTGCACTTAGCCTTTGGTTCATCAGTTGACGAGATAATACTTGTCAAAAAGTAACTAACACCCGTATAATATTATATTCGACCTGAAATGATACTTGAAAGGTGCTATAGTCATCTTTTTCGATGAGTATGTGTTCATGATTGCAAGACCATGCGATTAAAAATTAAATAATAACAATGTCACATAACACTTTCGAAAATACTAAAGCGTTTGGATTCACACGGGCTGAGGTTGAGGTCATTAGAAACTAAGAAATTCAAGATAGTATGTCAAAAAATCCCATACTGGAGCAATGCAATCAGAATTTCATAACGTTTGTATCGAAAAAATGGGGAAAGCATTGTCCAAGGCAGAGAAGTACCAACCTATAAATGGGGAAATAATTTCACAGCAATAGATGGGCCAAATTCTTTATCTGATCTATAGGCGGTGACAAAATTACAAGCAACATGTATAATTGACCTACCAAACTATTCCTTACAATATCAAATACAAAATCTCCTAAAAGATTCACAATATGTTATAAATTGGTGAAGTTATTGATGATTCAAAGTGCAAAAATGACTGAAAAATGTTTAAATTCTCCCAAATAATAAGAATGGTCACCATTCTTATAGAAAAATAATACATTATTGTAAAATTCTTTAGTTTACCTGGAATAAAGTATACACTTTTGTTATTTTTAGAAAATAGACATGACAAGGAACGACATGAGACAAAAATATTCTAAAATTGAAACAATTTTTTGTTAAGCCTGCTCGCTATATCCGATTCTCTCTTTAAGGAACCATGGGGTGTAGTGCTGTGAATATGTAAGAGATCGGCTTCATATTATGTGTGTATTTTTGAATTAAAGACAGAATGTCAAAATAACCAATATCAATAAAAAAATCACTAATTGATCCATTTTCAAGCAAAAATACTTTCCCGTATTTATTCCAACAATATCACCTCCGAAGGATTTTGAGAATGAATGGATTTGGGATATAATTGGGAAGAATGAAACAATTTTAATTAGACACGACACACATACAAGCTTTTTTGACTGATTGACAGATGCTATCACCTGATAGACGGTGCAAACACGATATCGTGTCCTCATCGCAGAGCTCCAATATCACGGGTGTTAAAACACGAATATACCATGAGCGCATGCTTTGAGGATACGCGTTGTTTGAACCTACCGCCGAGCACACTTATACATTAAGACCCGTTACACAGTCATGATACCGCCGAGCAAGCTCATTGCATCATCGGGTCTGCTTTACCCCCGTGAATATGGGAATTTTTGACATTCTATTTTGAATTCAGAATATTTATTAAACTTGTTGATGATACTTTTAAGCTACTTTGTACACATTTTCAGTGAATTTGGCTCTACAGTTGCTCTACATTTTTTGGGACACCCGATTTGATATAATGATCTTGTTTTTCGAGAGAATTTATACTTACACCCCAGTCACATTTCCTACGGCGACCTTGCGGTCTATCATTTCTGCGGCCAGTAACATTTCTACGCTCGCCTTGGAATTTCTGCGCTCTCATACTTTTGCAGTCACATTTTCCACAGCAGCCGCACGATGAATTTTAAATTTCTGTTGATAAATAATATTTTTTCATTTTATTTACATAGGGACAATTTATAAATGTTATTCATAGTCCTAGGATGTAATATCAAATGAAAAGTGATCGTGAAACATTGACAAATAATGATTCAATCTTGTTGAGCCAGTTGATTTCTACGGGGACCTCAGAAATGAACAAATATTATAACTCCGAATTATAATTTCTACGGCGACCCTGCGGCCTGTAAAAAATTGGATACGCCGTACGGAGGCCACAAGGCGAGCGTAGTTTTCCTCGACGAACGGCCTCCGTACGACAAATGTGACTGGGGTGTTAGCGACCTTGTTTTTATGATTAAATAGGTCAGAACATTTAGAGCACCTTATCTATTAACTTGTTCTGCTGCTAACACTTACAGAAACCCCACTGATGACTTTGCACATGAAGCTATTGTAAGCGTGTGTTAATCATATTTTGATAATAAAAGGTGAGCTAACGATTGCCAATGCCAAACCATATAAACATTTCTGTTAACTTAGAAAATCACATTAGATCAAACCACTCATTTTGGACACTTCATGATTGAAATAACCAGCAGCAATAGTTTCTCCTTTTAACAAAAACTATTTCGTGACATATATCTCTATTTAAGTAAACGTTGTACCATCAAGCAAAAATGTCAATTTTTTAACATTGGGACCAATTTGGAGTCCATTTTGTAAGTCCTTTTATCTTAAATGTAAAAAATTGATAAAGAGGCGTCGCATAAGTGAAAATAAAATGTCATTTTTGTGGAAAATGCCGCCATTTTGAATTGAGCAGCCATTTTGAATAACGCCCTGGTTTTGGAAAATCTGTAAGCTATACTGAACCTCATTAATTAAACATAAATCAATCAAGCAAAGAATTACGAACTCATTTTGTACATCTTGATAAAGCAGTTTTATTTCTATTGTTACCCAAATTGGTAGAGGTATTCAAAAACAAACGAACGAACACACAAAGAGACAGACGGACGGAGAGATGGCCAAGTGAGTGACCGCGATCGAGTGTTTTGACACAAGCCCTATAAGTTCAGTATTAGTAGAAATCATATTGCGCGTGATTACTTATTTTTATCTTGACACAAAGTGACATTGGTGCAAACAAGATTCTACAACTCTGTTAAGATAAAAACAAAGTCTTTTGATAGTGAATTAAGTTCATTCAAAGTGTTGGCACATGTATTTGATCGGCATAAGGAGGCAATCCGCTTTAAATCACACATAAGGGTTTCAGAAAATAAGAATTGAACGGAATAATGGAGAAACAAGAAGAAACTAAAAATAATCCAAAATGTTTGGAAAAATTCCTAAACATCAAAATGTTTGTCACTGCGTTATGTTTATTTGGTCTTGGTACAGGGACATTTAGTACCTACTACTTTTCAATAATAACATCACTAGAGAAAAGATTTGGATTTTCGAGTTCAACTTCAGGATTTCTAATGACTGTCGATAACTACATGTACATTCCTTGTGTAATATTAATCAGTCATTTTGGAAGACGTAGCCACACTCCGCGTATATTTTTCGTATCATCTATCATCGTAGCTATAGCTATGCTACTTTGGGCGACTCCCTTTTTCATATTCGGGAGCAAAGGTGGAAATTATCAAGAATTCCCAGCGACAAATACTACACAGGATAACTCAAGCGTATCAACACAATTCTGCATTATGGGACAAGCCGTAAATACAACACATAATGAAGTGAACTGTGATAGTGAAGACATGAAGACTGAACAAGAAAACAAAATAGCTTACTATCTGTTTGTGGTGGCTCAATTATTCTACGGGGTGGGAGGTTGCTCGTTTTGGACACTGGGTATGACTTACATTGACGACAATGCTAGCAGAAAGGATCTTTCCTTCTATCTAGGTAGAAAATCATTCATATTTGAAATACATATAAAGGAGTGTTTCCTTTTCAGGTCTCCTACATTTAACGAGTCCCTCTTAATATGAACAATGTTTAATATATATACAAAAAACTATAAGCTGTTAAACTATTCCCAACAGTGGCCACTATCACAGGCTGGTATCGAAAGATTTGTCCGCTGTGACGGAGAATGCTATTTTTTAAGAAAAACACTAAGAATACTTCACGATTTATTTTTTAACTCATATGTTTCGTTATATCAAAGAAAATTAGTTACTCCATGCAACGGATATATCATTTGCAAATAAATTATGTGATTTTCTTAGCGTTTTTATGAAAAATAACATGCTCCGTCACAGCGGACAAATCTTTCGATACCAGCCTGTGACTATACACTAGACATACTCAACTTATAAATACAACTAAGAACCATGGTATATTCAATGCAATCTGCATTTTGCGTTATTTTTGGAGTGAAAATTGTTACTTACATGCACGGACCTCTGCCAGATAAGCTCCTCTGTGTCTAGGCTCATTAAATATACTATCCTTTGAGCCTACTACCAATAGGGGCTGGATCGGGCTCCGGATCTGTGCTTACATGTACTCATTGATACTTTTGTTTAAGGTGTTATGTTTGCGCTGCGTGCTGCGGCTCCAGTGCTGGGGTACTTCCTGGGAGCAGCTGTATTGTTTCTACCTGAAGATCTTGTGTGTAAGTTCCCAACTATCATAGCACCTTTGACTGTTCAGTACCCCTATCTAAGGCAGTTATCAACAGGTCAACTGATTAAGAATGAGTTTCACTCAAGCAAAATGAACACTTTTTCTATTCATATCGGTAAAACATACATGATACGACGTCAGATACTGGCGTAACATTGTAATTGTTCATTTTACCGACAAAATGCAAAGATTTACGCGATAAATATGCGCAATGCTCCTCCAAGTAATTGCAGAAGTTTTAATATTCGTGGAATCTTCTTAAAAACTTCAAGTTTTGTTCAGATTAATGTGCGCTTCAATACAATTTTATATTCAAAAAGGTTGTGTCACGATATACAGAATTAGAATCACCAGAAAGTAGACATTTCAAACCCTACCCGTTTTCTTCTTTGTCGCGCTTTTCGGCCTTGCGCTCTCGTTGTCGCACCGTCTTTCTAGACTCTTTCACAGTTCCCCTTGTAATATTCAACTGATATACACAGACGGGAAGATATTAAAGGGACAATACCGGAAATCGGGAATAATTCCTTAGAAAAACTTCAAAATAAATCGTTGGTGTCTCAAACCTGCCCCTAAGAATGGCTACGACGTGAACTTACTTTTGTCAAAATACCGGAGCCTGAAAAAAATCACTCACCTAGATATCAACGAAAGAAGTGTCAGTTTCGTTCGACTGCGAGAGCAAAATTGAAGCTGAGCTAAACGGTTTTCGTTTGTCGTAAAATTGACCTCATTTAACTGCGCCATCTGGCGAATGAATCATTGTTTCGTGTCATATGATTCGTTGTTTTGTGTCACGTGATCTACCTTTAGACCTTTTGCCACCTATCGTAAGTTAATCGAATTAAAATGAAATTTTTCGATCCAAGAAGAAAATTTGCACAAAAATTATAAACCCCGCTTGACATAACCTTTGTCACTCTATCGTCTTCTTGATGAGGCACATCGGAACTTGGGATTAATAGCCATTCAACCAAGCCACAAAAAGTATGTATATTAGTTGTTCAACATGTTCAATTGTGTTAATATTTCCCGGAACTCGGCCTTTAAGGATTGTTAAATCATGGACCTATATCCTCGAGGATATAGGTCCATGGTTAAATGCATTATTTGTAATTTATTTTAACTCGAATATTTAGTTTTATTTATTTAAAGCAATGAATAATAAAGGAGAACATATAATACGCTAACGGCGTAACGTCTTATTTTGTAAAGGCTTCACTTGGGGTTGCGGTGATAAAATGATGTCTATCTCAATATATACTGGTTCAAATTAAATGAAATTAATTGTATGTAGTAAGGGATATATTTAAAAGAACATGCTGATACATTGGAAAGTTTTGAATGTTTATCCCTTAATTAGAAATATTTGAACTCAAAAAATGAAACGTAATTTTGTGAATCTTTCACATGGCTTCACTTCATATTTCTTTCAATTTATGCTTCTTACAGACTGAATTTTAATCGAAATGATATAGTTTTTTGATAAAAATATAGAATATGATATGCCTTTCAGGAATCAAAAAAGAATAATTCACTTATCAAACGATTTAATGTTTAATTGACCAAAATATATATCTTGTTGGTACGAAATTCTGCCTGTCCTGTAAGTTACCATTTTTATATTATGACGTCATCACACAGAATCTGTTCGTCTTTTCCAAAATAGTGAATTCAAATATTGTGAAAATTTGAGAAAGATCCGTTAAGAAATAAAAAGGTTATCTTCATTTTTCGTTTAAAATTAAAATCATTTTTCTTCAAAATGTTACAGTCCACACCCGGTTTTAGCATAGAAAGTCCCATAATACGGCTTGCGTGATTCTCATTTAAAAAGTCCCAAATCAGTTATTTGGAATTCTGATAGGCAAAATATTTCATGGACATACGCGTTCAACTGATGACGAAAAATTGTAGATAAATATGATTTTGCTGTCGAGATATTGCGGTTTTAAAAGTAAGTACGCATGTAAAAATGCAGTAAAATGCCGCGATGTACAGTATCTGACGTCGTATCACATGTACAAGTAAAAATCAAGAAGATTTTTGAAAATTTGAAACTAGCTGGGGGCTTTAAGAATATGTTTCACAAAAGCAAAAGAAAGACAAGATTATCATTCAATGTACCAGGTTAAAGTTGAATGATTTTTTGTAGTTAGACATGCTGAAAGTTGATTTTCTGTTATTTCATCAGCTACTGACACAGGACAAGAAGACGCTGAGTATATAGGAGCCTGGTGGCTAGGGTTCCCTATCATCGCTCTCTTCATCATACTAGGCTCTTTGCCTATGGCCATCTTACCCAAGAAAATGGTAGTGGACAAGAGTGATATACAGAATGATGACGATGATGGAAATGGCGTTTCATTTAGCCAAGCGGTTACTGACATTAAAGGTAGGTAAAATAATCACTCCATATGGTACCTATAATAGGCACTATGTCTTACTTACAGCCACTATAAACTGCCAATTTAACGTTAAACAAGTCAAACCAAACACATGCACCCTTTCACTGTTCCAAAACTAGTTACTTTGACGGAACGTCAATGTAACAAAATGAATGAACTTCCTGGTTACCATGTTTTTTGTTTTCTCGATTTGAACCTACTTATAAGTCAAATTGCAGATTATAATTTGGCACAAAGCTAGAAAATATAGTCTAGTTTTAATAAGTTTCTTCGATTTGGAATTTGTTTTGTAAATGAGTTGCAGTTCATATGTTTAGCCCCTCGCTTATGTTACATTGACAGAAATACGTTATATTACCAATGTATGTTAATTTGACGCCTTCCGTCAATGTAACAATACCGACGGTCTAAATGCATGAATAACAGCTTTATTGAAAATTCAAAACCGAGAGCACTTCTAAAACCTAGACTATATTGTCTAACTTCGTGCAAAATGATAATCCGCAACATGACTTGTATCATGTAAGTTTAAATCGAGAAAACAAAAACTCGTATCCAGGAAGTTCATCCATTTTGTTACATTGACGTTCCGTCAAAGTAAGTACAGTAGTTGTAGTTGTGGAACAGTCCATTGGAGATTAAATGAGACTTTGATTCAAGACTAAACATAGTTTGCTTCTCTAACCATTAGCACATTTTCATTGCGGATGTTACTGATATTTCAATTAATATCTTTCAGATCTTCCAAAGTCACTATTGCGACTTCTGCTGAACCCAGTCTTCATGGGCCTAACTGTTGCGTATTCATTCTTTGTCTTCTGGATCGTTGGTTATTCTGCTTTTCTCCCAAAGTATATTGAAGCACACTTCAATGTAACTGCCACAACGGCTAATATGTTAACAGGTAAGACCTTGTAACACAATAGTGGTACTTCATATAGGGTTTAGTGGTTTTGGCTTATTAACTGAGTGCCATTTGAGTGCTGTACTCAATTGAATACTGTACTCATTGTACTAAAATTTGAGCCCTATACTCAGCTGAGTGCTGTACTAATTTGAGTGCTGTAAAAATGAATATGAGAGATGTAATAATTTAGCTTTTGTTCTCATTTGGGTTCCGTACTCAGCTGAGTGCTGTTCTCATTTAAATCCCATATTCACTGTCCCAGAGTGATGTACTAATTTGAAGGCTTAATTTGTTACACTATTGAATGTTGTTATCACTTAATAACTCGGAGTTCCATTACATATATTAGAATGAATTTATTTAATTATTTTTATTTTTCCTCACATAATTTCTGCCTGTAGGTTCAATGGGTGCCATGGCAGGTGCTGTTGGATCATTTGTCAGTGGGGTGGTCACATCACGCTTCAAGGCCACGAAGAGACGTGTCATGCGAATTGTGCTCTATAATATGGTTTTTGTCGTAGTTTCCTCTGCCTGTCTCTTAGCATTTGTATGTCCACAGACCGAAATTGTAGGACTAAATGTGAGGTTAGCTAAACCAAGGACGTCTATCTCAGATAGACGTCCTTGGCTAAACTGATCTATAAATAAAGATACTTCACCAGTTTTATCATTTGTATTGTCATGTGGTTCTTTAATTATATAGTTTGTTCAAGTACTTACTTCATCTGTATTTCAGAATATAATAATTTCTCATAATCAACCTTACTATTGTTTTTCAACGCTACATTTACTTTTCAGAGGTAACGGAACTTGTAGTGAGGACTGTAACTGTGATGACAGTGCGTACAGTCCTGTATGTGGAGATGATAATAACTACATGTCCGCCTGTCACGCTGGTTGTACAACACTTAATAATGGTGTAAGCATTAGAAAACGATTGATAACAATTTGAAAACACATAGGGATCTAATTAGCAGGCTTTGCAGCACGCTATGAAAACAAACTAACAAATATATCATTCTTTTTACCCAGGTTGACTGGGATACATAGGTTCATGTTCATGTACTGTAGGCTTACACGTTGAAAGCATTGCCTTACTGTCCCAAAAATCTAGAAATTAAAAGTAACCAAAAACCTTTCATCTCTGACTGGGAATAAGGTTTTCAAAACAAGTTACACGTACATATGACGTAAACGAAAATCACACCAACAAGTAGCAACCCAAACGTAAAACAATTGTAAAACTTATGACAGTCTCTAGTGGCATGTGAAGGAACATGAGAAGATCAGATAAGATTACTTCAACTGTAAAATTGTTGGACGTCCAAATAATCAAGTGGAAAATTTGGTTCCCAATATTAACAGGTGTACGAATTTGAAGAAAATCAGACAAGCACTTTCCTTATATTGCAATGACAAGATTCAGGATATCGAAAAAATTCTGAAATGGCTTCCAAAATACAAGATGGGTACTCAAAAGTTAACAGCTGTAGAACTACATGTAATATGTGTTCAAGAAGAAAACCCAGGAAGTGTATACCATATAACCTATATATTGAGAAATAATTTTTATATTTTACAGTGTAACAATGTCCATTCGGACATTTCAAGCTAAAATTTTGTTAATTTCTCGGGGGCTACAATAACACGGTGTCTATCCAGGCTCCGCTGATATCGCGAGCAACGAGCTCATGTTAGAAGCGGGGCCTTAAGAGATATGATAAAATTAAAATATAAACGTTTCTATAGAACTTTAGTAAGTGAGTAAGTGAAACTCAATACAACTTTATTCCAGAGTACAATGGCTATTTCAATTGCAAGGCAACGACGTTCTTCGACTATGTCTCTATTTTATCATAGCTCTCAAGCGGGAACTTGCTCACGGTATACGGGGCCTGGATAGTCACCGTATAAGGTCTTATAGACTCTCGTCCATCGTAAAAAGCCGAGATTCAGTTCTCCTGGAATCGTGAAGACAAAAACTTATAACACCATCAGAATCACAACCATGTCACCATTCTGACGATTAAATCATATGTGGTGCGCAAAAATTTGATAAAGTTAACGATATCTAAGAAGTACATGTTTTTATTATGTACCTTTTAGACCTATAACAATTGCCAATGCACAGATGGGGAGACTGTAACAGTTGGATTATGCTCTGCATTCTGTAGCTTAGTTATACCCTATGCTATAGTAGCATTTACAGCAGCATTCTTCCATACGTTACAAGAAGTGGCCATCAGTAGAATTCATCTCAGGTAATGAAAGATGTTTATCTCTAGTTCCCCAAAAATGCTTAAATGTTTAACTACGGTTCCCCGAAAGATGTTCAAGTGTTTAACTACAGTTCCCCGAAAGATGTTCAAATGTTTAACTACAGTTCCCCGAAAGATGTTCAAGTGTTTAACTACAGTTCCCCGAAAGATGTTCAAGTGTGTAACTACAGTTCCCCGAAAGATGTTCAAGTGTTTAGCTATCGTTTGCCGAAAGATGTTCAAATGTTTAGCTATAGTTTCCTGAAAGATGTTCAAGTGTTTAGCTATCGTTTCCCAAAAGATGTTCAAATGTTTAGCTAAGTTCAAATGTTTAGCTATCGTTTGCCGAAAGATGTTCAAATGTTTAGCTATAGTTCCCCGAAAGATTTTCAAGTGTTTAGATATCGTTTTCCAAAAGATGTACAAATGTATATTAGTTCTCATCCCGAAAGATGTTCAAATGTTAAGCTACAGTTCTCCAAAAGATGTTCAAATTTTTAGCTTTAAGTTTCCGAAAGATGTTAAAATGTTTAGCTATCGTTTGCCGAAAGATGTTCAAATGTTTAGTTATAGTTTCCCGAAAGATGTTCAAATGTTTAGCTATCGTTTGCCGAAAGATGTTCAAATGTTTAGCTATAGTTCCCCGAAAGATGTTCAAATGTTTAGTTATAGTTTCCCGAAAGATGTTCAAATGTTTAGCTATCGTTTGCCGAAAGATGTTCAAATGTTTAGCTATAGTTCCCTGAAAGATGTTCAAATGTTAAGCTACAGTTCTCCGAAAGATGTTCAAATGTTTAGTCATAGTTTCTCGAAAGATGTTCAAATTTTTAGTTTTAAGTTCCCGAAAGATGTTAAAATGTTTAGCTATCGTTTGCCGAAAGATGTTCAAATGTTTATCTATAGTTCCCTGAAAGATGTTCAAATGTTTAGCTATCGTTTTCCGAAAGATGTTCAAATGTTTAGCTATCGTTTCCCGAAAGATGTTCAAATGTTTAGCTATAGTTCCCCGAAAGATGTTCAAATGTTTAGTTATAGTTTCCCGAAAGATGTTCAAATGTTTAGCTATCGTTTGCCGAAAGATGTTTAAATGTTTAGCTATCGTTTCCCGAAAGATGTTCAAATGTTTAGCTATAGTTCCCCGAAAGATGTTCAAATGTTTAGTTATAGTTTCTCAAAAGATGTTCAAATGTTTAGCTATAGTTCCCCGAAATATGTTCAAGTGTTTAGCTATCGTTTGCCGAAAGATGTTCAAATGTTTAGCTATAGTTCCCCGAAAGATGTTCAAGTGTTTAGCTATCGTTTTCCAAAAGATGTTCAAATGTTTAGCTAAGTTCAAATGTTTAGCTATCGTTTGCCGAAAGATGTTCAAATGTTTAGCTATAGTTCCCCGAAAGATGTTCAAGTGTTTAGCTATCGTTTTCCAAAAGTTGTTCAAATGTTTAGCTAAGTTCAAATGTTTAGCTATCGATTGCCGAAAGATGTTCAAATGTTTAGCTATAGTTCCCCGAAAGATGTTCAAATGTTTAGTCATAGTTTCTCGAAAGATGTTCAAATTTTTAGCTTTAAGTTCCCGAAAGATGTTAAAATGTTTAGCTATCGTTTGCCGAAAGATGTTCAAATGTTTAGCTATAGTTCCCTGAAAGATGTTCAAATGTTTAGCTATCGTTTGCCGAAAGATGTTCAAATGTTTAGCTTTAGTTCCCTGAAAGATGTTCAAATGTTTAGCAATAGTTCCCCGAAAGATGCTCAAATGTTTAGCTAAGTTCAAATGTTTAGCTATCGTTTGCCGAAAGATGTTCAAATGTTCAGCTATAGTTCCCCGAAAGATTTTCAAGTGTTTAGATATTGTTTTCCAAAAGATGTACAAATGTATATTAGTTCTCATCCCGAAAGATGTTCAAATGTTTAGCTACAGTTCTCCGAAAGATGTTCAAATGTTTAGTCATAGTTTCTCGAAAGATGTTCAAATTTTTAGTTTTAAGTTCCCGAAAGATGTTAAAATGTTTAGCTATCGTTTGCCGAAAGATGTTCAAATGTTTATCTATAGTTTGCCGAAAGATGTTCAAATGTTTAGCTATAGTTCCCTGAAAGATGTTCAAATGTTTAGCTATCGTTTTCCGAAAGATGTTCAAATGTTCAGCTATAGTTCCCAGAAAAATTTCCAAAGGTTTAGCTATAGTTCCCCGAAAGATGTTCAAATGTTTATAGTTTCGTAATAATTATGCTAATAAGGGTTATTTCGTTATTGTTTATCATTATCTCAATACTTCTTATCACTGGTCAACAGAAAGATGGTACTAAATGGAGCAAGTGTCATCTTTCGATTCCAATAAACCAAGTGGGGCACAGAATTTGTACTGATGTCACTGTATTACACACGTTGACGTCTAACCCATCTTTACGATTTGTAACACTTTTATACACATAACATTGAATAGAAATGTTATTCAATGATTTCTCTGAAAATACAAACCGCGTACGTCATTGAATAACTCACCCAACGGCCAATTCTTGCTTTATTTTTCATCATACTTTTGTCCATTGTAGATGTGTTGCGAAAGATGACAGGGCTTTGTCTATTGGTATCATGAGTTGCATTCTTGTACTGATTTGTAAGTGTCCATTTTCTCATTTATAATATCATAGAGGCCACGTTTCGTAGATATGTAATTTATACAAATCATTTTACAGAAATGGGCACTATGCACATCCCATTTTTCTAGCCGTAAAACCGTTATTTTTTCTAGCTTCAGACGTTCACAGAAAAGGCATGTGCAGTTTGTCAGTTAATATTTGCAATATCACAAATATTTGAAATAATTGTTGCGACTATGGACTAACATTTAAATGCATTTATAATTCCAAATTCAGATTGAACTAGTTGGGGCATTATGAAAAAGGAGACAAGAATGAAAAAACAACACATTTTATCTTTTGTATTTAAGCTCTACCCTCACCAGTGGTATTTGGCGTAGTGGTTGACAGTGCGTGCCTTAAACAGATGCCATCATGCTCTTCAACAGACAGCGCATGCTGGTTCTATGCCACTGATCAAATGCGAGTTTACTTCCACATTTTAATGGTCGCCTGTTTGATTTTTGAAGTGATAGGGTACGCATTTATGTGGTATAAATGTAAGAATGCTGATTTTTTATATGATGACCCGGAACCAGTGAGTGAAGCAAAATCAAAAGAGGATCTAGAAACTGCTCAACCACTTATGACTATCAAAGATCACAATGGAACTACAGATGCCAAAATAACAGATTTGTAGAAAATGCTATTACACATTTTCTTCTCCGAGCCGTTTTTAGACTCGTACGGATAATGGATCAGTTGCATAGCCATTTGTTCAAGCTGTTCTAGTTGTGAGTTGAACTCCTTCTTGTTTGGATCATCAGTTTTGGTTCCAAGCAGTGTTGGATGTTGACCTGTAAATAACAAAAGTTTGCATTTATCATCATTGTTTCAATTACTTGATAGCATCAAGCAAGTTGTAAATATTTTTAAAAAACGCTTACTGCATGGCTACATTACATGTATTTTTGACATGACGAGAATATGTTAATATGGATTTCAAAAGGTGTGGTAGATATTTTAAATATTTAACTAAATGCGTTAATGTTGGACGTATACTTATTTTATCAGGATATTATATCATACCAGATTGTCCATCATATCCCGCCTGTCAGTATTTTTCAGTAGCATCCCCGGTAACACCATAAATTCTCACATTAGTGCCGCTCATGATTCTGTACATGTAATTTGAAGATGTATCGCTATAGTTTTTTTTATTATGGTTTCATAAAGACACTTCACTGGACAACACTGGTTTGGTGCAACATTCTTTTATAACCAGAACAACGGCAACGCCAAAGCGTAGCGAATCCCATCGAACGTAAATGGAAGATTCCAGTTCTTGTGATATTCCATGGAAATATGATGTTAAGTGTGCCCATTTTAGTCTGGGTTCCTTTTAGATATGTTGCAAAAGAGAGGGCATTGCAGGGGCGGATCTGGGAACCAACAAAGGTGGGGGGCTAATTTCTGGCCTGAGAAAAAACTTCGGAAAAAAATATTGGGCCCCTAAAACCAAAAATGGGTCCAAATTTTGAGGCCTATTTTCTTCAAAATCAGGCCTAAAATTAAAAAAAATAAGGCCTTAAAAGCCCCAGTAGTGACCAAAAAGGCCCACGGGTACCTTTGAGCCATCTTGACAAATGTATACAAACACTTTATATATGTTTATACTAAGTATGAAAATAACTTTATTTTGTACAAAGACTACATGTAAGTTGTATATGAGCAACCAAGACACAATTGAACAGGTTAACTTCTCTTGCACGTTATGATCAGCACCGATTTGTATTATACATATTTAGAAAACTTGCATAAATCAGTTAATACTTAACATGGATTTTTAGCAATGCCTGCATTTGAATCAAGTTATGATTTTCCTTCGACACCTTCGATAACATATGAAGTTTGAAATCGACATAGAAAAAATAATACACTTTTGATCCTTAACTACAATAACTACACCAATTTTTTTCTAAAATTGTTTTGAAATAAAATCTAAATTATAAATGCTTATTTAAGGTTTTAATACAAGATAATTACCGGTATGTAACTACAAGTTTATGATAGGAAACTTGCAGATTCTTGGGGTTTCTATGCATTTTTCATTATTTGTGAACAATGTTTTCTAGCAATCTACATTGCACAAGTCTTTATACATTGTCAATGTACAAGTCAATATACATTGTACAAGTCTTTTGTGAATAAACACCATCTTTGACAATTTGTGAAAATATAATATCATCTTCTCTGTAAATCTACAGTTATTCTAGGTACCTCAGCGCCCGCCTCAGTGTCCATATACTATCAACTGAGTTCTCCTACTTGTTGCAAATACGCCATATATACTGAGAGTTCATTCCTCCTTTAGTACAGCAATACCACAGTCTAGAAGTGGTTTATACGAGTATTGTAGACCTCTTGAGCCATCGAGTGGTAAACCATCAGGTCCTACCTCAGCTGGAGGTTTGTAGAGTTCAATAAGGGGACGCTTGCCTTCTAGTATGTCCTGGAGAGAATAAGGAATAGTATTATAGTCGACACAAGAGTCATCCTGGATACATCCTGAATAATACAGGCTCGTAGCCAGCTGGGATTGGGGTTTGGAGTGACCAAAATTTATTTCAAAATCACGCAGTTTTCACCATTTTGAGCACTTTTCAAATGGGCAAAAGTTGTCAAATGTGAATGCCCCTGGATTTTTTTTGAAAAGTGAACCCCCTTGGCAAAAGCTGGACGCAGGCCTGTACAGATCAATGTATATCAAGGCTACTGAATGAAATATTTCAGTATTGGATATCTTTCAGGGTGCACCACACTGTACATGATGGTTACAGGTTATGAAATCACAAAAAGTAAAATCAATTGTTTCTCTGTTTAAATTTTTTTCATATATTCAAAAATAAGTGACAGTGTTTCACCCCGACTTCAAAGAAGCCTTCAAAGAAGCCTTAAAATGTGTGAAATGTTAGTAACATACCTTGATACATGCTATCTGTGGTTCAAGGGCAATACATTCACTCATCGTCTCAACAGCAGCAGGTAACCAAGTACTTGCGCCACCTGGTGGTACAAGCCCTTTGATTTCACAGCGCATGGACTGAGCAGGTAACATACGATATTCCCATGATATGGTACGAATCCTAAATCATTAAACATGGGATGATGAATATTTATTATCAATTAAGCAGGTCTTAGTACCTTAAGTTTACTGATTGATATACCAGAAATATAAAAGATATCAATATTTTTTAAATGCTAAGAAAATAAGAAAACACACTATGAATTGTCAACCATAATGAGAATACAGTGAAACCTGTAAAGTGCAACACCTCAAGCAGTGGAACCACAATAGTTGATTACTTTTCCAAGACCAACTGACTCAATGTTAAATGAACCTTTAGTTGAACTGACCTCCCAAGTGGAACACTTTTTAGAGGTGCCATAGATGTCCACATAGACATATTTTACTGTACATTATTATATCTTTAATATTACGCTGCATCTAAGCATATTACCTATCAATAGTGATGGTCTCCACGGTACCATAGTCCACATACAAGGCAAGAATCCTGGTCTCTTCTCCTACAGTCTCCTTGGCTAATACCTCAGTTCTATACCAGCAGTCATCTACTGTGTACTGACCTAGACAGGCTGTACCAATATCTGCAAAAAAGAGTACATATCAGGGGCGTAAAACCATATTTGTAAAGGGGGCGTGTTTTAAAGAAAATATAGGTGGCCAGTTTCAGAGGAGGGTACTCACCCCCCTTTCTGACACCCATGCATATTCTCTACTCTGGAGACTCGAAACTTATTGTTGTTACTATATAAAAAATCATGATGTCATAGAAAACAATTCTAACCCATTTTGAGAAAGGAACCACCTTTATAAAACTACTTACGGATATCATCAATATCTAATGGATCAGCAGTGGGAGCATGTGAATTCAACAGAACAGCCATTTGTTCCAGCTGTTCTAGTTGAGAGTTGAACTCCTTCTTGTTTGGATCATCAGTATGTGGTTCCAAACAGTGCTGGATGCTGACCTGAAATATAACAACATTATTTGGCATTCATCATGTCTTTATATTATCATAATGTTGGGGAACACTGATTCATCCTAATTACCTGAGGTACAGTTTATGTACATAGAGACACATGAAAAGAGGGTTATTTATAAGCTATAGTTACCTGTGTTGGAGTTGTGCCCATGTTGGTAACTGATACCTTAAATAAGTCTCCTACATCTGGTAGTGGCATAGGCTCATATGGGAACACAACCTACAACATCCACTGCTAAATTAAAATAATGACAACTTTGAATAAATATCCTCAAAATAATACGAATAGTAAGCTTAATACATCTGTACTGGGTTAATATGAAACGAGTCAACAATACATGTACCATCTAAGAACCTATCCATTTATCACACATTTTTTTCAAAAACAAGTATTTTGACAAATATTCTATCAGTAACCATAGCAACAGTAAAACAAAAGTTACAAACCTCAGTGAGATCTGGTACATCAACTTTGCTGAAAGATGGCGACACAGTTGAGAGATATGCCTCATAATACTCATTCTTCATGGCCTTGCTAGTGAAACAGAGGAACTCTCCAAGGTCCTGTTGGTTAGGGAGAACAAGGTCTACCTCCAGAGGCTCCCCATATTTAGGTTCTCCTGTAGTGATTCACTTATCATTTAAATGGACTCAGTTTGTATGGGATGGTTTTTGTGATGTAGCAATGACATTTGGTTATTTCTCATTTATTTGTTGACCTTATTTTAGATCAATGTATCTATGATTGAAATGGCAACTGTAAATTCTTTAATTCCTTGTTAATGCATCTGTTCAGCTTATTTGCTTTACTGTTTACAAGGATTTCTCTAGAATATCTCACAACAGGTTAAATAAATAAAAATGACATGCAGAATTAATGGAAATCATAAATTAAACATTTACCTTTGATCATAATGGTGCAATCATTGTTGACTATCTCATCATGTATGAAAGTGAGCACCTCAGTTGACCACTGGCCGTCACTGGTTATCTTGAAAGTGGAAATACACAGTGCAACATATCGTCTTCAACGTTGCTTTATAAACCAAGGGATGGTGTCAAAATACATATCGGAAAATCAAAGCTAATTGATTTGAGGGAGGGAGTACAGGATGACTTATAACAACATGTATTAGGCTAATAAATTATATATATATTTTTTAGCCTTTGCATGACATTTTCAAATTTTTGTTGTAAGAGGGGAGGTTTAAACCCCAATGAAATGAGTTTTTCCAACACTCGTGAATTACAGTAATTACAGAAATAAATAAAGAATCAAATTAGTTTTAAAATGTTAAAATTCTATGTTATATGGTTGGTTGGTTTTGGTGAGGTGACCGTTAAGTAGCCACATCAACTACATGTATATTCCATTTATTGTCTTTTTAAGGAGGATCCTCCTTAACTAGATACCATCCCCCTATAATTAACCTTCTCTTCCCTAATGTTGCCTTACATGTAGGTATGACCCAGTTTCTCCCTCATTCTTCCACCTCATATATCGTCACCCTAATTACATCACTTCTCATTCCCCATATGTATCAATAGAGTTTTCAATACTCACAGGTACAATGCCATGTAGTTTACACTCTAGAGTGAATTGGGGTATCTCTGCCATAATAACCTTACGTCTGAGATTCTGCAGGGAGAGACGCTCACTGTTACCAAAGTCGATGTAAAGCACCTACAAAGAAGATTTACATGTACATGAATGTTGGCCATTATTAACATTTTCTTTCATGTAAGCAAGTAACAGATGTAACAGATGCCGACAACTAAACACTGTTATTATGGCTTTTATTAACATTTTCTCTCATGTAAGCAAGTAGGATTTGTAGGACTAATATAACAAGGCATTAACATGCAAAATGTCACCACCTTCCATTTGTAAAAGATCCTGACAACTAAGCACTGTTATAGACACATGACTCCAAACACCAACTGCAAAACACCAGCCATAAAAAAGTTTGAGACTATAACATATCGTCACATGAGAATAACTTTGTACTATCTCACATTTTTACGGAACTGAGAAATCAAGGTTTGAAAGTTTAGAGGTCTGTATCTTACTTAGTATTGCTATGTGAAACTTGATTTTTTGTATGTCACCTGGTCTCACCCTAGAGATATCTTATATGAAATATCATACCTTGAAACAATTTACAAGATCCTTTTTTAAAACTATGGAAACGGAGTTGATACAATTTCCCACCGGAATAACAGCTTATTTCTAATTTCAAATTGTCATATCTGATATCAACTGTTTCTACCAATCAACTCTCTAAGAATTGGTCATGTGACTTGCAAAACTTGGAGTTATAACAATCTTATATTAAAGCAAAGTATGCCAATATGCATGTTATTGTATCTAGAATGAAAAATAATGTTTTGCTTTGTCTTCAAAAACCAAAGAATATTATTTAATAAAATAAAGAAAATTCAATTTATAAAACTTTAAAATCAATTTCTCAAATAAGTACAATTATTTCTTAATTTTGGAATCTCAGGACACCCTTCAAAAAGAATTTATTGCCTTTGAAACTAAGGCAGAAGTACAATGCATTGAAACCAATGATGCCAATACGGTCCCCCACATATTTCCCTCGGTATAAACCCTGTAGCCTAAACTTCCCAGCACATTACAATGTAGCCCCTAAGGGCCGGTCCGCTGGTCATTATCAGGTTATTTTTGATACAGACCTGTTGATTTTTTCACTGGGTATAGGAGAATAACATTGCAACTGGTCCGTAATTCCCCGGGTAATTCCATTTTGACCAGCAGGTTTCAGATCCTTAGGGCCTAAGACATAACCAATTTTTATTACATGCACATGGAAGAAATTTGAAAATAGAAAAATAATTTCTAATTCATTTTAGTTTAATGAAAGTGATGAAACCTCGATTTAGGTAATCACATTTTGTTCATTGGGATGCAGCTATCATTATCCATTCATTTTCTGTTGTTTGCTACTCTGTGGAGTACAATTTGGAATTGAAGCAATTGTAGAAGTGGAGACTAAGAGTGGCTCTTTGTAAAGAAATGGAACCAATTTGTTACTTTTCCAAAATAAAATGTAGATGATCTAAAAACAATGATCCCAAAAATGCAAAAGAAAGGACAAATCTGAAAAACATACTAGTAATAAAATAACTAAAAAGATCCCAGATGTTCAGTGAAAAGTGCAAAGTAAATCATAGATGAAGAGAAAATAATATAAGTGTTTTAAGGGACTATACTAACATAAAGATAACTCCTTATTGATATAGTGTATGGTCAGTAAAAGTTAAAGCTAGTTTAAATAGATTTAGCTTTTTTCCACAAACTATAAAACATCATTTTGAAAGAGATTTCAATAGTATACAGACAGTGATTGCCTTTGAGCAATGTAGTGCAAAATATGACAGTTACTAATTGTTTTGATTACTATATCTAGTATATAACCTATTATTATGTACTCTATTTGAAGAAACAAATAAGTAGTCTTTCATCTTCAACATTTAATGATGACAGCTTCGTATATGCATTTCTATTACATTTGGCCATTCAAACCCCTATAAGACATGGTAGCAGGGAAGATAAAGGGTACTTTTGACTGCTCACATGATCTAATTAACTGGTCATTTGTACTTTTCATCTTCCCTGGTAGCGAGGATTTAGGTTTTCGAGGAAATTAGTAATTCTATTTCATTTCATGTGGCCATGAATAATCCAATGAGCATCCATAATACAATGAGTAATTGAGGTCATATAATTTGAATATGCATGGGATTACACATACTGTATCATTTTATTTTTTTGATCTACTTGTAATAGTTCTAAAACTAAAACATGAAAGGCCAGGCATGCAAACTGGCATGGTATTGTGTTATAAAACATTATTTCATTCTAGATACAATAACGTGCATATTGGCATACTTCGTTTTAATATAAGATTGTTATAACTCCAAGTTTTGTAAGTCACATGACCAATTCTTAGACAGTTGATTGGTTGAAACAGTTGATATCAGATATGACAATTTGAAATTAGAAATAAGCTGTTTGTCTGGAGATGGTACAATTTCACACTGAATTCTAGCTTAATGAGAGGGAATTGAGATGGGGCATGTATCTGAGATGAAAGCCTCTGTTTCAAATAGTAAAATTCCATGTCGATCTCAATTTTTTTGAAAATGGCAGTTAGTACAAAGTTATTCTCACGCGACGATATGTCACCACCAGAATTGGTAAAGTTAAAGCTAACATCAAGAATTACAGGTATGCCTGACCGATATTAAACAAAACAATTATTTGTGACTAATCTAATGAAGACTCAAACTCCTGTTCTGTTTATCAAATCTTACTGGACACTGAACGGTCAAAAAAATCTTTCAAAATCATGCAGGTTTTCACCATTCTGAGGCATTTTTAAGTGATTTTGGCCATTTTTGGACCAAAATTGTCACAAATGAACCCCCCTGGAATTTTTCAAAAAGTGAACCCCCATTGGCAAATCCTGGCTACGGGCCTGCTGAAATACCATTATCAAAATATTCAATGGCTTTGGTCACCAAACCTGGCTTTTTACCCCATCTAACAAAAGATGTCATTCACTGTAACACATTCATTTATGACTCAGCTCTTTGACCAAACTATTGGAGTATACAAGTGATATATTGAGAATACCTGAACCGCATCCTCAAAGACATTGGTGATTTTTGCCCTGTACCAGCTTTGGTCATCTGTGAACCTTGCAACACAGGCTTGTCCAATCTGCCATGGTATTGTGATGTCATAGTCAATCTCTGATGTATTGTACATGTCTTGGAGGTGGTTCATTAGTTGGTCCAGTATGCTGTCATCTAAAATTAAGAATGATGATAGCATACTCGTACATTCCACGTGTCAAGAATCACCTTAAATCCAAGTAGCAATTTTTTTAGTTTCTTTAAAACAAATTAGAAGGTACAATAAGTTGAAAGTATAACTTGGCAACATTTCATTTCAACAGTCTTCCTTTCTGACATGCATTTTAAATAGCATTTTATTTAAGTTTCTTTAAAACAAATTAGAAGGTACAATAAGTTGAAAGTATAACTTGGCAACATTTCATTTCAACAGTCTTCCTTTCTGACATGCATTTTAAATAGCATTTTATTTATGTTTCTTTAAAACAAATTAGAAGGTACAATAAGTTGAAAGTATAACTTGGCAACATTTCATTTCAACAGTCTTCCTTTCTGACATGCATTTTAAATCTGTTTTTTAATACAGAATTCATTTATTTCTAGTAATCAATACAATAGATTACATATTTGAACAAATTGCCATTACAAGATGCAGGGAAATATCATGCATGGGAAGCTCTAGTCAATGTTGAATGCTCAGGCCCGTAGCCAGGGGGGCGGGGGTTGGAGGGATTTGGGCGAACCCCCCCCTGGCCAAAATTTCTTTCAAAATCATGCAGTTTTTCACCATACTGACTATTTTTTGAGTGAATTTTGGCCAAATTTGCCCAAGTGAACCCCCCCTAGAATTTTTTGGAAAAGCGAACCCCCCTTGGAAAATTCTGGCTACGGGCCTGATGCTTTAATAAACCACAACAAAAGAGTAATGAAATATGAACATCATACAGTACTTTTTGAAACTATCCTCAAGTCACGTGCAGTTAGAAATAATATGTGAGCTAAAAACATGCAAAATGAAAATGCTGAAAATTTCAAAATGTTTAGGCTGTGCATTTTACAATGGTCAGACTGAAAATTTCAAACTGGTCTTACTGAAAATTTCACCATGGCTAGGTTAAAAATTTCAAATCAGTCTTCTGAAAATTGACAGTGGTCAGACTGACAATTTAACAATGATCATGCTGAAAATTTCAACAAGTCTCTAAGTGCCTTTATTCCATCAAATATTGAGTTTAAGATATTTTTTATCTTTATATGGCAATACCACCCCGGGTGATCAATATCCTGTGTTCCGAATTTCGTTCCAGCAAGTCAGTGACCCGAGTTGTGTTTTACTGAATCCCGACAAATATGGCGGCTAATTTGACAACAGACGATGTTGATGTCGACAATTATTCAAAACTTTCTGACAGCATAAGGTAAGACTGAATATAGAGTGGCGCATTCGGTGCCTAAATATGTTTGCAACATTTTCTTAGTTGTTTATCCATATGCGTTGGGCATTACTGCTAATCGAAGCATTAGTAAACATGACCTCATTTTCAACGCTCGCTGGAAAGTATGTCACCGAGCAGTTTTTGACCTTCTGTTAGTTAATGAGATAAACTGTTATCATGGTATAATTGCTGGGTAGACGTTCAAAGTATGTACCAACTCGTGCTTCCAGTGAATGTAAACCATTTCTTTGCATAAGCGTCCTAGAAGGCATAATAAGATATATTCCATAGTACCGAATAGGAATCGCCAGTGTTCCGACGCACTTCATGGATAAATGCTCATAGACTATTGAATCATAATGAACAGAAGCAGTGTATACTCACGTTTGATATCTTAATTTATCAAAAATAAGAATTGAATGCATTTGATAATATTGATACTTTGCCAACTTGACTGATTTTTTTCTAGTCTGAGTAATTAATAAATGAGTAGTGGATTTGATTAATTGAGGATTTCCCATGTTAAAATATGTGAAAATTGTCAAGAGGCCACACACATCAGAGGATGAGAGTACAATACAACATTGTGTAAATTATGAGACTATGTTGCAACACCTTCAAAGAATGGTCATTTCACAATCCACATTGCACATACTGTAGCAGGCATTTTTATGATATATTTTAACATTGTCACAAAAACCAGGGATTGACAAAAAATATAGCATATCATATAGCAGGTATATGCCAGGTATTGTAATATATTTCAACGTTGTCACTGTTAGAGTAGGCATTACAATTTACCCATAAAAATATAATAATATTGACAACAGGCTAAAAAGTCTTCACTTAGTAAGCCATAAATGTCACATAAAGGCGACGGTCACACCAGGCTTTCACGATAGCATTGCTAAGGTAATAGTCACTGGTATGACTTCCGAATATGAAGGATCCGTAGCACACTATAGCGCAGCAACATTTGAAGCAATATTTATGAAGGTGTATATGTCTTGATTCTTTTAAAATACCATTTGCCGAAAAAACTTCCGGCTTTCGGGTCGAAAAATGTATTTCATCACAAGGGGTCAAAAAACGTAAATATTTTGATTCGAACTTTTATAAATTTTATAAGACACAGACCGTTATTCTAAGCATACGAACAAAAAAATTGATTATCATAATGTCAAAATTACTATGATTTTACTGTAGATGTCGGTGTTTAATTAGTGTAATTACACAAGTGTGTTTTTCAGATTTTGTTTGATTTTTCAAATATGAGCTAAGCCGATTCAACAAAATTGTATGGAATATTTAGGTAATTTTTTTTGATTGGGAACGTATTAGTTTTCCGGGTAGTTTTCTTACCATTTTATTACCAGAATTTTTCCATATAATCGTAAGGGTCTAACAACAAATTATTGTTGATGTTTTATAAAACGTAATACAATAACAAACAGGTAAGATTCATATCTAATTCGATGTTACAGAGGTATTTGCATGTTCATATATTCCAAGGGCATGTCTAATAATCAATTAGAGTCATATGCAGTCGAACGCCTTACAATTCTTCCTCGACGTTAGTTGTGGCTATCATCAAGTTTTCTGATGGTTGTTTCTTCTTTGACCTTACCGAAGGATGCAATCAAATTTTAGGAAGATAATGATAACGATTTTTCTCAATTATTCATGAATTCGACCAAGTCTTGATGGTTGTTTCATAAGTAACTGAGCTATATCTAACTACGAGAAATGGAATTATAGCTGTAGTCGCAATTAGTCAAGGGAGAGCAATAGGCCCACCTTTATTGATAATGTTCACCGCTGAATAAAAGTTCATATCTTAAAACGTATTGAGACCCATTTTGCGAAAAACTAGCATAATTTAAGCATTTGTCATTCTAATAGAAAAGTGATTCATTTGTAGCATTTATCTTATTAATACCCGAGAAACAATACAAAATGTCGATACACTGATGACATAATCTTTTGGTATTGAATAGAAAAATAACCTCAAACTTTTAGCTTAGAAACCTAAATCATATACTTAAAATCATATTTTATTATTTGCTATTGCATTGTGTACTCCAAATTGTAAAAGTTTGGAAGTTTATTTTTTGGAAATTTTTTGACCTCTGTTAATGGCAGGCATAATTTAGCCTTAAAGCCGGAAGTATATTAAACGGTTATAATAAAAATTATTAGGGGACATATGTAGGTATGCTTATGTTAGGTCAAATATCGCTGCGCTATAGTGTGCTACCAGCTCCTTTATTAGACGTCCTAGAGATTTCATACCATGGACTATAATGGCAGGATCCATGCATAATTTATTAAATCAGGCCCACAGATAGGAGGGGGGGGGGGGGGCCCTGGTCAGAAATTCTCTCAAAAACTTGCAGTTTTTCACCATTCTGAGCACTTTTCACATGATTTTTTGCCAAAACAACAGATGCCAGCCAGATCATACTTATAGTAGAAGGCTAGGCTCAAATAAACCTCAAATTGAGGTATTATCATTGAGATACAGATACTATACATACGATCGTGCTATCAAAACTGTCAAAAAGCCCCCCCCCCTTGGCAAAAACTCCACCCTTGGTAAAACCGCTCACCAATGGTGAATCCTGGATACGGGCCTGTAAATGGTCATCGTGGTTGCACACATTTTTTATTTTTAAAAATCTAATTGAGAGCATCCTAATCATGTGAAAAGTTCAATTTTTTTGAATAGTTATATTCCTTCTATAAAGTGGGTACACTTTTTGGGACACCCTGTATTTGCAGTTCAATGCCAATGTGGAAATCAATATACAGGGAAATTCGATCTTGAATTTGTAAAATAATAACAAGAAAGGTAGCACCAAATTAGCTTGATGTATTCATAAATGGATTCTCAAAAGTATACAAAATATATATAATCTTATTCTGTAGCTTCGGGACAATGGCGATTCCTATTCGGTAGAATGGAATATATCTTTCAACGACTTCTATGACGCTTATGAAAGGAAATAGCTTGGATTCAAACATAGCACAAGTTGAGACATACTAATAAGGTATACTTTACAGTTATACAATGCTCAGAGTATCCATCATTACTTACAGAAGGCAAAGAACGACTCGCTGATATCGTTTTCTGCGAGCTTTTCGAATTGGGTCATGTTGGTTTCATGCTTCGATTTGCATTAATAGCCTACACATATGGATAATCGTTTATGAACATGTTGAAAACATATTCCAGCACCGAATGCATTACTCTATATTCATTCTTTCCTTATGCTATCTGATTTGTTTGACACATTTTCGTCACCTGGCTCGTCGAGACGCCATATTCATCGGGATTCAGTAAAAACACAACTCGGGTCACTGACTTGCTGGAACGAAATTCGGAACACAGGATATTGATCACCCGGGGTGAATACATGGCCATATTATATTATTGTTTGGTAAGATAGCCGACTTTTTAGATGTATTTTTTAGCTTTAGACAACCAAAACTAATAGTCTAGAATATTTTCAAAATAAAAGCCTCTAGAAAGAGAGAGTTCTTACATTTTGGCGAGCACCCTAGAGACCTGTATCAAAATAATCCTTTATATCTTACAAACGATTTGTGAGATTTGCCAAAGTGAACGAGGTGTCGAAAGGCACTAATTAGACAATTAATTAGTATAGCATTCCTCATTTCTTCACTAGTTCAATCAATACAACCAGTGTTGATCACCACATAAATGCAAAAACAGCTATGGTCAATGTGTCAATTGTTATATGCTGGACATGTGCCAGTGTTTTGAAAAATCCATAGATTACAGTACTCAATCTGCTTTGATTGATTTTACTGAACTAGTAAACCAATAATCAGAATCACACTACAGCATTGCAGCATTGTCAGCTCCTCAGATTCTCTCACAAGGGATCTACTGTATTTATAAGTCTGTTATCATATAAAAGTACATGCTTATTTGATATACCAAATGGTTATTTTACTATACTGTAAGTAACCCATAATCAAGTCACATTGTATTATGAGTTAAATAAGGTAGTCTAAGCTTCAAGCCTCTGTGACCCCTCCCCCTCTACTTGGAGTAAACATCTTCTCACACAGTGCAATTAAGAAGGGATATTTTGATGTACAAAGCTAAGAGGATACTTGGTCTTGATCTTGGCTTGTGTGCTAAGACTGTAACAAAGAGTTTTCGTAACATGCTTGATATTTAAAATTGATAGTACCAATGAAATTACAATCAATAGATAAATGAGAATAATTATGAAATAGAACATGAAAATGAAAATCACATTAAAATATCTGTCAAATGTACTTGTATTAATCATGGGTTCTACATTCATACCAGACATACACTGCCCAATGGAATGCAAAGCTTATTGGTCAGTGCCAATGAGCCCAGTGTCTAGGATCAAATGTACTGCTGGGTGCAAATGTGATAACAGATTGATGCAGTTCAAATCTTTGCTAATTGTTAACATTAAATACTATTTGAATCAACAATTAACATTGTTAATGGTGATGATTTCAGTGTTAGTGATAATTTGATTGAGAGAAGTATAATATAGATAATTTTGTATCAAAGGATTTCCTATTTATGATCAATTTTTACAAATTTCATTGACCGCGTATCTTCTTGTAATAGAGGATACATTGAAATATTCATTGTAGATATCTGCTACATCACAGATAATTATATGGTGTTTACATTAATTAATGTATGAACTGGAATATACATAAAACAAAGGGTATACTTAGCAGGGCTGTAGCCCACTTTCAACCAGCTGAGGGGGGGGGGCTGTGATCGTAGTATTTTAAAAATTGGTGCAACCTCCTTCAAAATTGAGCTAGAAACTTCATAAAGCATTCTAAACCTCTCATCTCCTTTTTGGTTGTATTTTTTGGGTGGGGTTGAGATCGCACCAACCGCAACCCCCTTAACTCCTTGCAGTAACGTTAATTCAAGTACCTTTGAATTGGCAAGATACAAACCACAAGACAATACCTCAAACAGCTTCGAAAATCTCTCAAAATTGATAACAAATAGTTGTTCTCACTTCTTTTATAATCAATCGGACTATATTTGTTAAAATTTAATTTCAAAAAAGATATTTCAATTTTTGAATTTCTCTTGTAAAATCGCATTTCACCCAAAACACAAAACACGTTATTTCATCTTGGTAAATCTCAGTATCAATAAAGGAACCCTTGATTGAACATGGTATATTTCGACTTTTTTGAGTCAACTAGACTGTATTTTATGTAATAATTTTTCTAAAAATGTTCTTTTTAACATAAAATTATTTTTGCAAAAAACACATTTTTTACCCAAAAACTTACTTCGACACCTATTTCATCTTGGCAAATCTCAGTATCAACAAAGGGACCCTTTACCTTTCAATTATACACCAAGATTAAGCTACTCGTCAAAATATGTTAATGGTGTCAGCATGTTTTGAACACACTCGTTTAAGTCGATATTGCATGCAAATCACAAAGAAAAAATCATTAAGCTCCCAAAATCCCCCTAGTTGATTAAACATGGTATATTTTGACTTTTGAGAGTCAACTAGGCTGTATTTTATATAATAAGTTTTCAAAAATATCTTTCTATCAATTTAATATTTTTTTGCAAAAAACGCATTTTTACCCCAAAACTCACTTTGACACCTATTTCATCTTGGCAATCTCAGTATCAATAAAGGAACCCTTTACCATTCAATTGTTAACCATGGTTAAGATGCTCGTCAAAATGTGTTAACATTCTCATCATATTTTGAACACACTCGTTTTAGTCGATATTGCACGCAAATCCCAAAGAAAAGTATTAAGGTCCCAAAATCCCCCCAAGTTGATTAAACTTGGTATATTTCGACATTTGAGAGTCAACTAGACTGTATTTTATATAATAAGTTTTCAAAAATATTTTTTATCAATTTAAAATTTTTTTTTGCAAAAAACACATTTTTTCCCAAAAAGTCACTTCGACACCTTTTTCACCTTGGCAAATCTCAGTATCAATCAAGAAACCCTTTACCTTTCATTTGATAACCATGATTAAGGTGCTCGTCAAAATGTAAGATGTCATTTTATTTTATACATACTGTACCTATTCTAGACTATAATTTATTACAAGGAAGATGCATTCAAATTATGGATTTAAAGGGATAAGGTGCGTAAATGAAGTCTCACTTTAAATCTTCATAGTATTTTCAATGGATAAATAAGTACCTGATCTTTCATTTGACACCAAAAACAGCTCAAACAGACCACATCAGAATTGACACAAGATCATGAAAAAATATTTTTGATCTATCAATTTTTATATGTCAAGTTTTTAGCAATGCGATAGAAAGATGGCATTGTTGTTTGCATTAATTATCCATTCATTTTTAATAGGATTTTCAAGCATACGCCATCTTTTAATCAAAGAGTTATTTAAAACATACAATTTGTGAAAAGTGGTAATTCACTGTTTTCAATCTCTGAACTTCAAATGCTGTTTTTCTATGCAAGTAATTTTTTTCACATCAGTATTATCCCAAATAAAAGTTTTTATCATATTTGATTGACTGTGTGAGTGACGGTTTCAAATAATATTTTGTCCTTTTTCCTTCAAAAATAGGCGCATTGCCTGTTTAAAAGCTCTCTACATTCAAGTCTATTACTAATATCTAAAGCCCTACTAAAAAAAAACAATAGGAAATTCAAGCAAGTGTAGCCTATAGCAACTTTACCATAGTATCCAAATATCTATAGGCTGAGACATCTTGCCAGCATGAGAACAACTTAGTGATGCACTCTTATCTATCTATTGAAAATCTACAAACTACAAGCCAAAGTTGATTTTCGTTTGCATTGCAAAGAGCACTTAGCTAACAGGCCCGAGGAGGGGGGGGGGGGGTTAGCAGTCTACTTTTTGTATGGGGAGATGCCTCTGAGGTTCAAGATAACCACCCACATCTAGGAGTTTTATCCTTTAAAAATGGACCCACATCTAGGGTTTGATCTTTCTAGGGATTTTTTTTGAAAATACAAGGGGCGATCCATATATTCTGATAAAAATGCTCTCATTTTCATTCATCAACCTGGGCTGTCAAATATAACCAATATATGGAATTACCCCCCCCCCCTTCCCCCTGGCTAACGGGAAAGATTGAAAATAAAACAAAAGCCATGCAATCTGTGTCTTAAATAACAGCCAGGGTAGGCCTTATTACACATAACACAAATTCTAAGCAAATAAAATAAACAAAACCACACACACCATTGACTCCACCTACCATATATTGTGACTACTACACCTACACACTCCATTGACTCCACCTACCATATATTTTGACAACTACACACTCCATCGACTCCACCTACCATATATTGTGACATCAGAATAAGATCTTTCTTTTTTCAATTCCCGAACTCTCTCCTCCCGCCACTTTTCATAAATTTCATTTCTTGGTCGTCTGTGTTTTAAAACAAGATCATAGTGTCCCCCATCTATTTTGCCATCAGATAAATATGCAACTTCAACCTCGCCTCTCTGCCCCTCACCATATCTCCGCGTCTGAACAGGGTACTTAAAACCTCCAAAGTGAACAATGGCCGTAATATTATATGCCCAGCATATAACATGAATTTCTGGTTCTCCTCCATAGGTACCTTCTTTGGCCATATCATCGGCATATTGTTCTTTAGACATACCCATTAGATGAGCAATATCATCCCAGCGATCTAGAACATTATTCACCACTGTTTTTCTCATTGCCATATGCTCTGTTTGATCTTTAAATATACCCTCGCTAAATGCCCTATAGAGACAATTCCCATCACGAGGAATCATGAAACGATGACGATTTTGCTTTGCAATATAATGGTCCTGGACTATTTTCTCTGGCGTACTCTCCTGTAGTAGGTATCCGATACGTCCCTCGGGGTCCTCTTCTGGAAATCGAGGCAGTGATTTTTCTAAATAGTGGAGTGATTTTCACAGCCCAAGAAACATCTTTAATGAAATTATTATTACAAAAAAAAAAAAATTACATAAAAAAAATTACAAACATAAATTATGGACAAATAAGGCTTACAATGACGTGATGAACAAATATTATCCTTAAAACAACTTTACTCCCTGAGACAGATCTAAATATCTTTTTTGCTTTAAATATATATTATTAAATTATAAATCACATGCTCCTATTACTAATGCCTACAACTTCTTGAAATAAATTAATATTCTATAATTAGTCAAATAAAACAAAAAATACTGTACATGCAGACTATGCCAAGCCCTAACTAGCTAAGAACTAAATAAAAATAAATAAAAAATTTATCAATACTATTAACCAAAGTAAATAAAATAAAAATTTCCAAGATGTAAACCCAAATGTTACAGAACATTTTTCAACTGACCTGGTTTCACTTCATGCAGGAATATTGTTCCGTCACTTCCCACATATGTCGGAACTACTTTCTCCAAAAGGTTCGACTTTGGCACAGGAGCAGGGAGGTATTTAATAACTTGATAAGGGTCTTCAACATCAACTATACCGTTAACCATATCTGGAGTTGGTTTACTGGATTCAGATGGGGCCTCTGAAGAGTCTTCTTCCACTGATAACCCTGAGCTAAGTGACTGCTGGGCAGAAAGTTCAGGGTCTTCGATTACAATGCCTGAATCCCCTTGTCGGTTTTTGGTCTCAGCTTTTATGTTCTCAGGACTTCTCTCTTTATCAATTAGAATGTTATTATCACCTCCAGCATTGGATGTATCGATTGCATGATTAGTTTCCTCATTTGTGGGACTAGGGATTGTGGGTTGAAGACTAGGGGTGTTAGGTTGTAGACTAGGGGTGGTGGGTTGATTGTCTGTGTCTGGTTGGAACTGAGATGATGAGAATGGTTGGACTGAGGCAGTTGATGGATCAGGAGTAGTTGGCATACTAGGAGACTCGGGGCTCTTCCTGAAATAGAACAGATCATTGTCATTTGTCTAATAAATGTTAAAGGATTAAGCATTTCAAGCTTCAATTCAATTCATGAGATCATACATTCATATTTTTCTTCGTATTCATTATCTTTACTTTAATTTAAATTCATTAAAGTGTCATGAACAAAAGTATATTTCTAGCAATGTCTAACAAGTAGAACACCCCAAGACCCTACATAGCGAGATGGTAAGACTTATGAAAGCTTGTACATATATGAAATGTAAATGAAATGACATAACAAAATGGTGCCACCTGGTAAACTTATTGCAAATGGTTTCAAAAGTGTAATAATTTGTCATGTTAAATACTGAAAACTGACCTCAATCTCCAATCACAAAATTATGGCTAACAAAAATGTTGCCACAGTTTGCTTGTGTCAAAAAACCTTTTTTTTCAGCAATCAAATAATCCATTTTATATTTCACACAACAATCTACCATGTTGATTTACCTTCTGATTGGTATTGCAAGTCCTTTCTCTTCAAGGACCATGATCATTTACCTTCTGATTGGTATTACAAATCCTTTCTTTACAAGGGCCATGATCATTTACCTTCTGATTGGTATTGCAAGTCCTTTCTCTACAAGGACCATGATCATTTACCTTCTGATTGGTATTGCAAGTCCTTTCTCTACAAGGACCATGATCATTTACCTTCTGATTGGTATTGCAAGTCCTTTCTCTACAAGGACCATGATCATTTACCTTCTGATTGGTATTGCAAGTCCTTTCTCTACAAGGACCATGATCATTTACCTTCTGATTGGTATTGCAAGTCCTTTCTCTACAAGAATCATGATCATTTACCTTCTGATTGGTATTACAAATCCTTTCTTTACAAGGGCCATGATCATTTACCTTCTGATTGGTATTGCAAGTCCTTTCTCTACAAGGACCATGATCATTTACCTTCTGATTGGTATTGCAAGTCCTTTCTCTACAAGGACCATGATCATTTACCTTCTGATTGGTATTGCAAGTCCTTTCTCTACAAGGACCATCACTGCGTGAAATATGGGATTCCAACTCTTGACACGTCTAGAAACTGGTCTTTACACGCCGGGTTTCTAGACGTGCCAATTATTTACACCTCTTGACACGCGATGAATTCAACTCTTTACACCTCTTTGCACTTCTTGACACACGCAGTGCAAAGACGTGTAAAGACCATGTCAAAAAGTCTTTACACGCCCTGTGACAATTAATGGAATCTCTTGACACGCTCTTGGCACACTGAACAACATAATTATGTGTAAACAACTAACCTAATTACCAATAGCAATACATACAGTATTTTAACGATTGCAAGTATTTTCTCTGATACTTTTAATTGATATATTTTTTAATCATTCTTTCGCAGACTGTTTGGAACAAGTACATGTAGCAAATATTAAACAGACTATTTTGTATGTACGCTGACACATTGACTTATTTAAACATTTTGGCAATTTCATGCCGCCTTTTGAAAATATAAATCAGTTACAGGCAATGCTAATCGACGCATTGATCCTAAGTGAAGGAAATACATATCATGATAAGAAAAAGAAAGGCGTTTCAAGGATAAAACGTGCAATAAACTTTGAAAACACTGATACATCAGGCCTATTTATATATTTATTTTGTATTAGCTTAATATAAAGATAACCTTACTTTTCAATGAGTATTTGGATTTCGGAGTAATTTGTTTCAAGTTAAGTCAATACAAATTATCGCCGACTTAACTTGTGACCATACATATGATAAATGAGGGGCATTTTAATACACAATTGGGCAAAACAAGCATATTCAATCGAATGTACCATTCTCTCTGCTGTTCTTTCCCAGCCTATCCATAAACAGACAGGTACAAGTTCCCATAGTTTTCGCAACATCTAATTCTATGATCAATTGCTAGACACAGCAAATATACTAATTAATTGTCTGATTGTGATTCGGGAACGTAGGGTTTTTACATAAACAGGATACTTGGCTGTACATAGCCTGAGAACACTGGATTGACCCCCCCCCCCAATCGACGCCTATGCGCTGCTTATGTTTTAATAAGAAACATTCCCTTGTAAAGAATTATCGGGATATGAATTGATACAAGGTCAAGTATTCTGCCCCTTTCGTGTGATAAAAATATGTATTTAATTGGTGCTTTAACTTTTTGAACAAAGAAATGAAATAATCGCACTGAATGTCTCAACATAAATCAGTGATGTTTAATTAATAAATGACACTTTTATGTCAGTCTACGCACTTCATGGACATGGACGGGGGGGGGGGTGAGTTACCCATTCTAAAATGGTTAAATTTTGTATTAAAGAGTAATCAATAGGTCGTGAACTCCGATTGATAACCAACTGTAGCATACTGCTTAATTTGTTTGACTATTGATATTAAAAAGGAGTGAATTTATGATATTCATAGAGGTACATTGTATTGGTATTAATATAATAATGATATTGGGGACCATAAACCACTTTGTTTCGCAAGTAGCTTTAGGATCGCGGTTTTATCTTCACATGTTGCCCTTTGTGCAATTCGAAAATGAAATATTTTAATCTATAATTTATATATCATTTGCAAAATAAATGTAATTAAGAGACATGGGGGAGGGGGAGGGTTAACGGCCAGAATTTGGAATGAATTTGGGAATTTCAAGGATTGATTCACTTAATGTTGTTCACTGGAGTCGATACACACACCTGCATAACAATCGGAGACAAACTGACTTAATCTGATATGATAACAAAAGATTAATAACTTAGTCTATGTTTTTGTTTTTATAATTGCGGAAGTGTACCAAAACCACCTTGATTACAGAAGATATCGTCTAGGCTTTAGATTTAATGAATAGAATTTTTGCCCTAGTCTCATTTAATAAAACGTCAGGCTATTTGCGTATTTAATTAATATTTGTGACAAAATATTTCAGTTAGACTCAAAATCAAAACGAATTTCTCCATTATAGCCCCCCTTGCAACTGTCCCGAGTCTGCATCTGTTTTTCATGCTTCCGACCCACCTTTGGGATAGAGAGAATAGATGTAGATTTGTAATTTGGGGGGGGGGGGTGGCATTAAATGTGTTCTCATACAAACTAAAATAAACCCCAAAAAGCCATATCAAATGTCCAAACACAAGACCAATGCCATGTCAAACATCCAAATATAGAACCAATACCATACCCCCGGGTACCAAATATCCAGAATATAAGACCAAGGCCATTCGAAATATCGAATGCCCCGAGAAGAAGGCAGATCTTTGAGTAAAATGATCATAAAACAACCTCAAATGAAGGATATGTGTAACAACTAGACCAATGCCCCGGGACCAATGCCGTACCACAATTGAGGGGTAACATATTTTCCACACCGATTTTTATACCTGAAAATGGAAAAATCTGTCTTAAAATGTGGGTCCATTGGCTTGACATACCAAATGTAAAAAAGGTACCCCACCTGAGCCGAGTGTGAACCCCCGGGGTGAATGGTGAACACACGGGGCAAGGAATTCTTCGATTTTGATTCAAGTAATTTTTTTATAAAATTCATACTCATGTTAATAGCGGACGCCTTGGCCAAATAATCTTTCAAATCATGCACTTTCCAAGTGATTTTGTAGCAAAATTGTGATAATATATGAACCCCTTGGAATTATTCAAAGACGGACCCCCGCCAGCCCATCCCCCATTCTTACCTATGCTAAACACTAAGATAAACATATAGAATCTTAGTATCTTACACTTTTTATGTCACCACCAAAAGTGGTGACATATTGTTATGGTCTCCGTTTTTTTGCGACGGCGGTTGGTGGTTGGCGTCCGGCGTCTGGCGTCCGGCGTCCGGCGTCTGTAACAATTTCTTACAACTTCCTATAACTTAACAAATACTGTTTAGACTGACTTCAATTTTTTTCTAAATCATCTACATCTTCTCAAAAGTTCAAATCTGACTTTAGATTTGACATTTGACCTTCAATGACCTTCTCAAGGTCAAAAAGGTCTTTTTTCAACTTGCTTCACATTGACTAAATTTTTTTTCAAAATCATCTACATGTTCTCAGAAATTCAAATCTGACTTTAGATTTGACATTTGACCTTCAAATCTGACTTTAAATTTGACATTTGACCTTCAATGACCTTCTCAAGGTCAAAAAGGTCTTTTTTCAACTTGCTTCACATTGACTAAATTTTTTTTCAAAATCATCTACATGTTCTCAGAAATTCAAATCTGACTTAAGATTTGACATTTGACCTTCAAATCTGACTTTAGATTTGACATTTGACCTTCAATGACCTTCTCAAGGTCAAAAAAGGTCTGTTTTCAATTTGCTTCAAATTGACTAAATTTTTTTTTCAAAGTCATCTACATGTTCTCAGAAATTCAAATCTGACTTAAGATTTGACATTTGACCTTCAATGACCTTCTCAAGGTCAAAAAGGTCTTTTTTCAACTTGCTTCACATTGACTAAATTTTTTTTCAAAATCATCTACATGTTCTCAGAAATTCAAATCTGACTTTAGATTTGACATTTGACCTTCAAATCTGACTTTGGATTTGACATTTGACCTTCAATGACCTTCTCAAGGTCAAAAAAGGTCAAAAAGGTCTGTTTTCAACTTGCTTCAAATTGGCTAAATTTTTTTTTCAAAATCATCTACGTGTTCTCAGAAATTCAAATCTGACTTAAGATTTGACATTTGACCTTCAATGACCTTCTCAAGGTCAAAAAAGGTCAAAAAGGTCTGTTTTCAACTTGCTTCAAATTGACTAAAAAAATTTTTCAAAATCATCTACGTGTTCTCAGAAATTCAAATCTGACTTTAGATTTGACTTAAGATTTGACATTTGACCTTCAATGACCTTCTCAAAGTCAAAAAAGGTCAAAAAGGTCTTTTTTCAACTTGCTTCAAATTGACTAAATTTTTTTTTCAAAATCATCTACATGTTCTCAGAAATTCAAATCTGACTTTAGATTTAACATTT